TAATATCCTAATAAATGGCTGTGGGGTAATTTCAGAATTAATTTATACTGATTGATTTCTCAATAATTGTTGTTGTGGATCACAACCTAAGGTGCTTGGGCTTGTTAAATTTGTCTGTTACAAAACTGGGACTAAAAGCAAGATGCAAACCAACCTTTGAGGAGGTTTGAGGGCTTTTCAACTTATTCAACAGCTTTTCTTCTGCTTTTTCAGGAGTGCTTCATAAAAAATATACTGTATTATCATTATTATTAGTAGTAGTAGTAGCAGTAGTGGTACCAGAAAATGGTTAAGAATTACCATCAAGGTTTCCTAAAGTCAAATCATCTTCAAAGTGCTTATTTTGTCCAACCAAAACCCACATAAACCAAATAATATTAAATGTACTATTAAATAAGCCAAATAAAAAAAGTAGACTTTCAGCATTTAGAAGCTGGGACAAGGTTATGTTTGGTATTTGTGTTTAAAAAATTACTTCACAGGTGCCCAATTAGCTCACTGGGTAGAGCTGGCGACCCATGTACCGAGGCTGACTCCTTGCTGCAGCGGCCCAGGGTTCGAATCCGACTTGTGGCCCTTTGCTGCGTGTCATCCCCTCTCTCTGTCTATCTTCAGCTGTCTCTATCATAAAGCCAATAAAAGCCCCCCAAAAAAATACTTTTAAAAAATTACTTCACTGCTTAACAAAATAATACACTAATCAATAAACTCTAATTATTAGATTTAATCCATTGGACCATCTTTCTTTTTTGGCATAATACACTGATTGAGAACCATTGCTGATGCTGTTAGTAGTAGATTGATTACAATGTACTGCTAAACAATGCAATAACCATTGAGCAGGAACATGTATGACTTTCAGCGATACACACAAACAGACGGTATGAGCAGTCAAGCCAACAGTGTACATTTCTTCCAATCGGCCACAAAACGCAGACAGATAATAAGCTGTGGTGGTTCGAGCAGAAAGCCTTCAAACTGTTCCATATTTAGGCAGAGTAAGACATCTATCTCTGGCGGGCTATTCTAGTCGAGGCCATAGGAGCAATGAGTCAGAGAATGCCCTGAGATCTGACAGCCAGTCGTCCACTACTGGTTTCCCCGTTTCCTAAGCATAGATCTAATCAGGTAGCAAAGTAACTGCGTAGACCTCTCGCATGGTCTGAACCTCTAATAGGGTTGAATGATATCGGAGGCGAGTTTCACACATTAAGAGAGGTGAACTGAGCTGATAGCTCCAGTCGATGGTGGAAAATAGACAGAGCCGGGGTTTTTCTTTGAGGGACGGGAGAGGGTAGGAGGAAGGATGTGTTAACACATGACCGAGTGCTTTAGGTGGATGAGGAAGACGGGCAAGGATCTGGCCTCATTATTTCAATATGGGAGAGAGATGTCGTCTAGCACAGGAAGGGGCTTTTGAATTAGGTTAAACTCAGCACACAAAGTGGGGCTGGGACTAGGAATGTGAATCATCATCGCATTAGGAAACAGTGCCGTGCAGTGAAATTCAGCAGCTCTGCTTTCATTGAAACTTAATATTATTATTGCAGAATTAGGATTTGTTTTGGTTTTTCTCACAGCTTAACCCACTAGAGTGACAATTTATTTATGCAGCAAGGTTGGTTGTCTCAGTGCGCACAATAAACAGCACCTTCTGTTTATCTACAAGGCTCTCTGACACAAACCTTTACCTTGCTATGCATAAATTACCTAAATAGAGGACTGGATCCAAGGAACTTTTTTTTAACGCTTGCTAAAATGGTTTTGGGAAAATCAGCCCTTAGGTTCTATGTGCCCACTAAACTGAATTAATTGCACAAGTGTTGAAGTTAGACTCTCTAATAACCCTTGACGATGGAAATAGAGACTTCAACTAACAGTTACACTTGTTACAAAACAGATTATATGCCTGCTTGTCTCAATATTCTAGTGTGTCTGTTACTGCCTGTCTGCAATGGATCATGTTGTCTGCCAAGGTATATTTTCATTATCTCAGGGTTTCAGTGTGCACGCAAGATGTTTAACATATGATCCCTTGTTCAAATCGCAGGCTGCTTCCATTGCAGGGTTGGATAATGTTTTTGGAGCCAACCAGATCTAAAGCAAATATTTTGTTACATTAACAGCTCTAAACAAAGAAAGTCAGTCCACGGTCAATCAAGCAGAACAATCCAAATTAGCACAACCATTCGTAATTTGCACCCTGTTTTCCCCACCAAGGAGCTTTTGTCTTTTCTTGTGCATCATAACAAGTGAAATGAATCAGTGACCTAATTAAAGGAGAACAGACAGACGTACAGTCAGCAGAATGCTTGATTGCTGCTATTGCACATTATATGGCTTCAGGTTCTTCAGCAACATCAGTGCTGCCGTATGGGTGTCACTTACTTAACGTGCCCCAAGATGCTCTTTGACACACCTTGCATTCATGGTGTGATGTCTGACAAACATCCCGTGGCCCTCCAGAGAGGCTACCCAGGCCTGTCAGAAAAGTAAACCAAAAGCATCCACTGTAGCTGGTGTACGTTTGGACAGGAACAACACAAATACTATTGAAGCTACATTTTTCTCCACTGTTAAAACTAGATAAACAACTTGTCAGACACCTACAGCCAACAACTCCAGGACTTGAACAGCAAAATACAATATTTTCTTTCCCTTCCTTCTCAAACATTTACAACAAACAATCAACTTGGCGTACGAATGCAACCAAGGAACTGTAGGATAACTTAGACACAAACAGATGCACTGATGACAAATGATTTAGTGATATTCATCTCATCCACAAACATAATAATCTCCTTGGAGACAGGCCTGTGCTTTACCAGAAGCTGCCAAAATAGCATCCAAGCAAATCTATGTCAAATTTCTTCCAACGTAGATATACAGATAATTGCACTGACCATTTTCCAACCTGCTCTGTGGATTCCTTGGAGCCACTTTTCTTAGCTGCAGCATTCACAGATGAGTCAACATAGGCCTATTCTAAACCACTCCAACCAACACTATATAGCTTACATTCAGCCTTTATATCACACTGAACACTGAGATCTACAGAGGAGCTTGCACGCACTCATCTTTACTGATTTGTCATTTGAATGTTGAGAGTACTGATTCAAAGGGGCCAGTCTGCGGCCACCCAAGCAGACACAGACAGCAAGTGATTATTGAGGTTGGATTGCTAGATATCTGCATTCATTTGTGAGGCAGACCACCAATGATTAACCATATAGTTAATCACCAGTTTGGAGGCACAACGGGATTTAAGGCTATGAGTATTTGCTTTTGTTAAAGGGGAAAATCTGCTGATTGCAAAGAGTGCACACATACACATCTGTGGTCACAGAAATCTGAAGCAGGGTTGCTCTTTTCAAAAGAATTGTGCAACCTTCCGTAGTTTTTCAGCAGCAGATCAAGGTCATCTGCAACCCCGGGACGCCTCTTCTCCAGTAAATAAGAGCCATAGCTTTCACTCATGAATCCGCATGATTGACGTATCCTGGGGGTGCACTGGCCTGCTGGATGCTCCTTTTCTTACAGAGTAGCTGGATTTACTCTGGATTTTAGACTGCGGCTGACAAACCAACACAGCCCTGAAATAAACTAACTGCATTCCAATATACTCAAATGACAGGCACATGAAATGGGACTAAAAAAAACCCCCGAGGAACACTTCGTCTAATCTGTCATCCATCATACCAAAGCGTGCGATTTGTCATTGCGCCCTGCAGTGAGGCAGATACACGCGGCTACAGAATAATAATTATGTGTACACCTTGGCCGACAAGCCGTCATGCAATAATGTGATTGCATTGATTATTCGCCGGAGAGATAATAGGTATCATTGCTTATTACTTTGCCTCAGCGACACCTCGCATCCAAGCGACGCCCATCCAGCCACAAGTCGCCGGACCGTCATCTGAACATATACGGGAACTATATTACATTTTACCCCGCTGGTCCATTAGGGCCAGTTTCCGCGCCCCTGAAGTACAATAATCGCAGGCCACATTCCCATGGGCATCCGTGAGAACCAAAGTCAGCGCTGCCATAACGTTAGGCTGTTTCAGAGCAGGTCAGTGACAGACACAGGTTTGCATATAGCCAAGAGGTTTACCGACGTTCGCCAGCGATGTCTGCACAGAAAAAAAAAAAAAAACATCACATGTGAAGGAATAAAGTGCGGATCCTTACCGTATCACCAGTCGCAGCGATATAGGCGCATATATACACATCCAGCGCACAGAGGAGTCAGGAATAACCTTTTCTGCGCTCTTTCATACAGTCCCCAGAACGCAGATCTTTGGATCGAAATAATTCTTCCCAGTCGATGAATAATTTCACCGCCTCGACTCCGGGTCTGTAGTTAATTCTTTTATGCTGCTGCTGCAAAAAAAAACAAAAAAAACCGACGTGGGTAAAAATGACCGAAAGACAGGATGGAGATAAAGCTGAGGGTGTAATAAACCAATAGCTGCGTGCTTAGTATCCCGATCAGCGCTCACACAGGAGGATGTATCGCGTCCGTGCAAATGCACTGAAGTCCAGTGAAGTGCTGGAGGAGGACAGAGGCGTTTTCTCTCTCTCTCTCTCTCTCTCTCTCTCTCTCTATCCGTCTGTCTGTATCCCTTCCTCCCCTCCCTCCCTTTTCTCTCTCTCTCTGTCTTTATCTTTCCCGGCTGCCTTTATGTTCTTACTGACTTCTGCTGAAGTCCACAGACGCAGAGCGCGGCAGAGCAGAGGACCGTGGTCAAACCCATACACACACACACACACTCACACACACACACACACGGAGGGAGAGAGAGAGGGGTCAGAAATGACAAACCAATTTGGAGGCGCGGTGGATGCTCGGTTGATCGAGCGCAGCCCGGCGAGAGGAGCGTTGCGTTGCAGGCGGGCGGGGAGCCGAGGGTGGGTAGGGAGGTGGGTGGGGAGGGGGTGATGATTCCTGCCTGGGGGATGCAGAGAGAGAGAGGGGGAGAGATGAAGTGGGGTGTCTGGTGGAAAACATGGAACTGGATCTGGCTCCTAAATCTCTGGACCTAGGGCTCCACCTGCCGTGTGAAAACACACGGGGGGGCTGCCAAGCTTCACGGCCAGGACGGTTTAACGAAATCCATTAGATCCCCAGTGGACATGATTGTGACTCAAGAAGCTCCAAACTGAGAGGGGCTTTTTTTTGTTGTTAAACATGACTTGCTGTATGATTGCATTGTGCCTTTGGGTGACAACTGCAATATATACAGTTGGTACAGTTCCATTCATTGTCCATTCCCAGCTGAATAAAAGCGGCATAAAAGTGAAATCACAATCCTCATCCATTAAATGGCTCGTTATGGTCCCTGGACCCCAGTTTGGGGATTTAGAAAGCAAGACAAAAGCGGTGTGCCCGCTAGGGGTCTACTAGGCAAACATCGAGCAATTGATAGAATTCATACAAGCAATGGAAATGTTATTTGAAAATTTGAAAAATTAAAATGAGTCATTTAATATAAAAAAATGTTGACTTTCCTCCAGATAACATGCGTAAATTAAAATAAATGCATACCTAATGTCCTTCCATGGCAATCTACTTTTCCATTATATCCTTTCTTATTATATTCTCACTTTTTTTGTCATTAATTGTTCTCTAATGAAGACACTGGACATGGGCTGTGCAGGAGCGAGTTTGGAGTTTACTTGGCTGTCACCATAATATTTACAAGCATTGTGTGCATAGTGTCCCGCTGATGCATTACAGGATTACTTAGTGTAGGCTACTTCTTTTTCATTAGGGATGAGCCCTCTGTGCCTGAAGATCAGAGGGTGACATGCGCACTGCGCGGAGCGCTCACAAGCCGCGGACACAATGCTGGAAAATAAAGCGCACAGCTTGGTTCTTGATATCTTGCCGTTTCTCCATAAGCTGTTATGACTTGTCCCATCGGGAAAGTGTCATTCTTTGTATTTGCTACAGGTAAATTCACCCTGCGGACTGGTGGAGGTGGTGAATCTGCTGTGCTTGGAGCTCAGTGGGGACCTGTTGATAGCCCACCGGCGCTGCAATGGAGGTGAGATGAGGCTTTCTGCAACAAGCGATTGTGAACTGTCCGTGATGTCCGTCTGTTCGTCACAGTAATAGGTCTAATGTGGCCAGGTCATTTCTAAAGAAATTATCAGACTGTCTTGTAAATTACATATCAAATTAGTAGCTAATGGGCCTGGGTAATTAGTGTAAATCCTTCATCTGTAATGATTTTTTATTATTATTCTGAAGCAGTCAACATCATTTTGATATCAACAGGTATAAGATACAGATTTCATTAGGCTGCCGTGAAGGGCATATAAGTACTGCGATACCCCTCGTGCCTATCAATGGCCCCTAATTAGATTTCAGATGAGACGTTGTCATTTCCAGCCCATCGTTTTACAAATCAAATCATGTCATTGCTATCATGCTTTGATGCTATACAGGCTCCCCCTCAAGTCAGAATGGTCGGGAGGCCATGTGTCGCAGTTAATTACCATCACTGGCTGATAAAGCCTTTTGGAGAAGATTTAAATCCTGCTAAAGAGCATTAGTGTACAAGCAAGGCGCTTGCAAGCAAGCATTGCCTTGGAAGAGAAGATGTAGGTAAATGATACATGTTACATAACAGATGTAAAATATACAGACTAACAGACTAATAAAAGTGTCTCACTCATATTTGTATCAACAGGAAACCTTAATTCAGAAATAAACTGTAAATGTAAATAGACTATCTGTACAAGGCTTGTTTGTGGTTTTTCATGTTGCAGGTGCCAGAAAGAGAAGAATGACATTTAACTGAGACAAAGAGTCACAAAAGAAAGAGTTCATCCAAACAATCTGTCAGGCTACGATGGAGATCATGGGTAAGCGCACTCAGTGACCTGCAGATGTAGAGTACTGTTTAAAGCCAAACATGTTCCAGTAACTTAAGTAAGACTCCCCACAACTTCCATCTTCAGAGGCTTACAATTAGGGTGTAAGGCATGGGTGCCACAGCCAGATAGGAGAGAATAGTTACATGTACAGGTGGCACAGGACTCACAGTCTGGTCGGTAGTCAAAACTTTGCGGTAAAGAGTTTACAGGGTCTTAACCTTCTGCCACATACAATTACTGCAATTGTGGCTTGTGCTAATTAGCTTCACACTTAAGCTCACAGTTAATAAACAAGGGCAATATGACCTGACACCACATTTCAGTCGTTGCCTTTGCTTTTTAGTGCTGCAGAATGGACGGCACATCCTTCTTTAGCACTCTTTTCTTGGTAAGGTTTACTTGTTTACCCTCTTACAAAAGAACATTTCGTTCAGGTTTTGACCACAAGTGAACCCAGTATTTTGCAGTTTGAAATTGAATAACTTTGGCAGAAAATGTGACAGTGTTTAAAAAACCTTGGAATTGAGAGAACTCACTCTCTAGCAGCCATGGTTCAGGGATATTTTTTCAGACAAGCACACTTCCTGTCCACTCAAACCTGCAGACCTCAGTTTGTTTTTAATACGTATCACACTGTGGATCAGTGCTGACAGAGGACGTCATTCTGGATTATAATGACAAATGTTGTATTTTAAGTCATTTTGCAAGACTTGAGAAAATATTTTTATTTTTCCATCAGCCCCTTTGACATTAATAGCTTATTTTCAAAAGTCCGGCTTTGTGTCAGGGTCACACAACATCTGCTGCAACATGTTGAAACTAACGCAAAGCGAAAACGGGGGAGAAACCTGTTTCTAAAATGACACAAATGATATATGATTCCACTGCAGATACTCAGCGTGCCTTGGAGGCTGTGGAGAGACTGCAAGCCAAACTGAAGGAGAGAGGAGAGGCCCCCACGCAGGAGAAACTCTCCCTGCTAAAGACTGTCCTGCAGAGCCCCCTGTTCCATCATATACTCAGCTTACAGCAAGCTCAGCGGAAGCCCCCACCGAAGGTACAGCATGAACATGAGTGTGTGGGCGTTTGGTGTATATTGAATGGTAGGGAAGGAGCCGGAATCATTCCCAAAATACTGAATGCAGGAACCAAACTGGATGAGTAATCAGCTTACCTAAGCTTACCACTAAAACCCTGAGAAAGAGAGAGAGGGACAGAGCGAGAGAGCGAGAGGGGAAGGAAGAAGTGGCTACATATAATGTCTAGGAGTTTGTAAAAGTCATCTGTGACATTGTTATAAGTTTTGAGCTGATGTGTGTGTGGGATGTTGTCCTGGTGGTGGCCGATATAAGTCACCAAGCAATGTTTATTTACATACATAGCCTACCACTGTGTGTTCACACATATGTACATGGTTTACATTTATGAGACCATCAAGGCATATAACTTAGTCGGCGGTCTGTAATCATCACGGCTTTGTGACTGTCTGTTGTGGTGTACTGTAATAGGCTAACCCTATAAGTGCCACAGATCTACACACACTATGCATTATTACATTAGCATTGTGTGGTGTGAGCCTGTAGCCATTTAGCGTCTCTGCATTCCAGGAAACACGGAACTGGATTGTGTCGAAGGCTTCGGGATTTTTATCAGGACAGGCAGTGACACAGTTTTTATTTCTTAAATTCAGAGGTTTTTATATATAGCACTGAGAACATGAGTGTAAATTAATGGAGTGAGAAGTCGCTTATTAGTATTTTGTAGTATTCTGTCTTTTATTCTACTACTGCTATTTTAACAGGTGTCAAAGTTGTTAAAAATGATTAGCATACAGATCAGAAATAAGCATCTTGTGAAACTCCCTTTTAAACTTTGAAACAGCAAACCTTAAAGATAAAAGGGGACAGTTTTGTGGTTACATATTGAGCAGAAGCATTTATCTCAGGTCCACGTGTTCCTGCTCTCCTATCTCTCTGCTCCATTTAAAAGCTATCTTTCTGTACTTTTTTTCTTTGGCTAACACATATTTCCCCATTCTCCTTCCCACATCTTTGTTCATTGTCTCACAATGCCCTCCTTTCTCAATTTCTTTATCCTTTCTATTTCCCTCCATCACTCCCTCACCGTCATCCTGTCCTTCTCTGTGTCCATATCTCCTTTCTTCAATTAATGTCTCCACCTCTCTATCAATCCCTTTCTCCACCTTTTTATCTCCCTCATCCATTTCCCACCCAATCTTTCTCTTTCCCTTCCCTTGCATTCCCCCAATCCTTCTCTCACTCTTTTATTCCCTCTCGATCCTACCTGATCCATCTCTTTTACTTGCATCCTCTCCATTTTTACACTTTTATCCTCTACTTCCCATCTCTCCATGTGTCCTACCTATCCATCCCTTATTGCTCTCTCAGTCTAACCAGGGGAAGGGTATTTCCAAATCTGTTTCAATGAACTGTGGCCCCTGCCAGGGCATGGTACAGGGCATGAGTCATAGTGACTCCTACACATGGGCCATGGAGAACCGAAGGCCCAGCACTGCCAGATCCGTCCACAAGGATGGCAGCATATCTTCTCTGGGATCACAGGATCTGTCCTTCACAGACATCTACCCAGACAACTGCATTCACACTGAATCACAGGTACGTAAAATATCAGTTGTAAATGACAGAGATAATTCAGGAGGAGTTTAGTAATAGGGAGCAATTTATTCTTAAAGCACTCCGTCCATGAACCAACCAAATCGTTTTTCCTTTCAATTGTAAAATTTAACACACCGCCATTCCAAATGTCACATTTTACATTTGAGAATATAACATTACAAAACTCAAGCACAGTTGGATATTATATCAACTGAGGGTTTCAGCTGATCATAAGAGGCTGCTCACCTAACTCGATGTCATTTCAGGTTTGCTTTTGTTTTACACATAACATTTATTTTTTAGTACTGCACTCCCCCTCGAATCTCCCGCACCATGTCGATGGGGAGAAACCTGTCTGCTATTGCTCATGAGGTACAGTAAGCTTACATGTGAGGTGTTTCTGTAGACCTGGTGAACGTGTGTCTGTGGATGTACGTATTTACAGTAAACAAGAGAAGCAAACACGTTTACTGTAGCACTTCAACCTCTTAATGCGGTTTCACTTTTTGTTACCAGTTTAATTACAATAGATTTTTCTTCTCTCGCCTTTCCTGTCTCCCTCCCTCCTTCTTCTTTTAACCTCTGCCATGTAAGAAACGTCATGTGGAGATGATAGAGCTGATCAATGATGGGAAAGGGCTCGGTTTTGGCATCATAGGAGGCCGGAGCACAGGAGTGATGGTCAAGACCATCCTCCCTGGTGGAGCTGCAGGACAGGTAAATCCACCTGCCAATCAACCATAGCCAAACCTTAAATAGGCTAGCCAGTTGAGGGAATAGCTCAACATTTTGGGGAATATGTTTTTTTACTTGCAGAGGGTTAGATGAGAAGATCAATACCATTGTCATGCCTTAAATATTTAAGCTACAGCCAGGAGTTGGTTATCTTAGCTTAGTTTAAAGACAGACGGGAAGCAGTGGGAAACAGCCAACCTGGCTACAAAAAAACCCATACCATTAGCTCTTAAGCCCACTTACATGTTATATCTTATCTGTTTATTCCAAAAATTGAAGTCTAGCAACAAGAAATGGTGTTTTTACATAGAGTTGTGCTTCATATTTCACATGAGGCATTCTTCTCATCTGACTCTCAACAAGGAAGCAAATCAGTGTATTTCCCCAAATCTCAATCTTTTGCTTTTTTTTAAGTGTGTGGAGTAGAATATGCAGAAAGTGTACATTTTCAGATCACGCTAAATATTTGTGTTGTAACGCGGTTCCCTAGGATAAGCGCCTGCGTAGCGGAGATCAAATCCTGCGCATCGGAGATACAGATCTGGCGGGAATGAACAGCGAACAGGTGGCACAGGTAAGGTATCGTTTGTAAAAATGATTTGTCTGTAATGATAATGCTTTATGTAATTGGTGTTTAGCTAGGTTTTACGCAGTCAGACCCTTTTATTGTGTGTATCCACTGTTAGCCCATAGTTAATCCAATAAAAAAAAACTGTTCACTGCTCTCTAACGAAGGTGGAACAGTTAACGAGACATACTTTTGCCAAATCATCCTTGAAATCTTTTCTCGAAACGTACTTGGACAAGCAACACAAAAGTGAGATATATGTTTTATCACAAGTGTTAAACACAAACAGGAATTTTCAGTTTTACAAGAGAAAAGACATCACAAGGGTGAAGAAGAACCGGTTGTTTTGAAAATTGTAGGTGTGGTTAACTGCCTCACATCTGTTAAAGAGCAGCACACAGCCGCCTCCCTGAGCTTCTCTATGGAACCATCTGGGATTGTTTCCTACGTAGCTGATGAGACACTCACAGGTGGCGCTAATATACTGTCTTTTTTTGGGCAGCTGTCTCTTTTTATGTTATTTATTTATTAATTGTCACACACTATCACTTTTCATCCGTTCACAAATGACCACCTGGCCCAGGTACTGCGAAATGCTGGTAACAAGGTGAAACTGCTCATCGCCAGGGATATTACCAAGGACAACCACCTTTCCTCTCCTGTCCTCAGCCAGGATAGCTTGGAAGACAAGGTGTGTGTGTGTGTGTGTGTGTGTGTGTGTGTGTGTGTGTGTGTGTGTGTGTGTGTGTGTTTGTGTGCACATAATTAAAAAAGTCAAATGCACTCTTTATGTAAAATAATTGGCTAATCAGTGACATTAAATATGTAACACAGTATTCTCTTAACCCAAAAGATGTGCATTATATGTTACTCTCTTTGCTTCTTTCCAGCTCAATGACTTGAATGATGACTATGAGTTCAATGTGCAGTTCACTAAAAACAGTCGTGGCCTGGGATTCACCATTTCTAGCTACATAGGCGACCTAAACTCAGGTATAATATCTACCAATTTTTAACTTTTTGAACAATCATCATTATTCCAAGCTATTTGATGGAGGCAAACTGGGGAAATAACACAGTTATGAATAATACCCCCTTAATGTAAGGCATTATTGATGATGTTTGAGTATAGAGCTACATTTACACAATCAATCCTAAAGGTTTTCCTTTAATTTATCTTGCTTTCCTCAGTCTACAGCGCTGGTGTTATAGTGAAGAGCATAGTGAAAGGCAGCACTGTGGATCAAGATGGACGCATCCACATTGGTGACATCATCCTATCTGTGAGTTCCACTACAACACAACAGATGGCTTTTTTTTTTTTTTATTGTGCTCTCTGACGACAAATACCTTGTTGTCTCAAATATATTCTCTGCTGAATTTTAACGATTTCAGCATCTCCAAATCTGCACAGTTTGCAACTTATAGTAGTTCCATACACACCAATTAGGGTCTTTTTAGCTGATGAAGGGGAATTCTTATAGTTTTAGTTTCTACTCCCATCCATCTCTTCATCATCTCTTATTTTTACCTATGCTTTCCATCTTGTTCTATTTTTGTTTTTGATTACTATTGATTTTTATTTTTTAATTTACCTGCTCTCACTGTACCTCCATACCATCCGCTCCATCCACAAAAAATGCTTCTGTCTCCTCCAACATACTCATGCTTTGATCCTGGCTCTCCCTACTTTTACATCTCTTGTCCCCTCACTTAGGTGGATGGGGTGAGCCTGCAGGGCTGCAGTGAGCAGCGTGCCATGGAGGTGCTGAGGAGGACGGGTCCACTGGTCAGACTGAGGTTGCTAAGGAAGTCTGTCTGTCTGAGCCACATTCTGCCCCCAGTTCCTCCCCTGCAGCCCCTCCGACACTCCCACAGCTTCCACGAGGGAAATCCCTACAGACTGGGCCTCAACAAGATTCAAGAGACAGGTGTTTTGTGCTGGGGAACATATTTGCTCAGCTGTATCGTAAGGGGATTGGTTTCAGAGTAACCGAGCAAATGGAGAACATGTGGTTTCACAGTATGAAAGTTATCAAGTTATGATCCACTGGTGCTACATGCACTGTCTGCTTAAATCATGACTGAATTACCTTTCTGATAACTGTTCAAACTAGCATATGAAGAACTTTGCTACCACCTGCATGTTGTCATCTCTCAAATGCTTGCTGGGAACTTGTACACATGATCTTTTTTTGATTCAAGTATGTTTGTGTGTATGCGGATCCCTGCGTGTATGCTCAAACGTGTTTCTCCGTCTCCCAGGAATCTGCTCGCTGCGTGAAATCTCCCGGCGAGCGGCATACGCCAACAGAAAACCCCGACACGATTCCAGAAACGGTAAGCTCCCCTTCCCATACTGCACTGCAATCTGGAACTGGATCATGGGACTTACTCTGATATGCTGATTGGGCTCAGGGAACAGCAATGTGGCAGTGAAGCATGCTCTTTGATGGGAGTCTATTTATAGTGTTGTGCAGTCATGCGTTTATCCAACTCATTCAGCTCATTCCAGATGATTTGTCTCTCACCCTGCCTGCATATATGGCTTTATTTAGACGAGCGTTTTTGGGCTTGATTAGAGAGTGCAAGCCAAATAAGCCCTGATTGCTGTGAGGCTTTAATAGATGAACAAGAAAACATAAGTTTGCCAAGAAATCATAAGATGGTGGGTGTGAATATTCATGGATGCCTGTAGTGTGGGCGTGTGCGTGTGTGTGTGTGCCTGTCTGAGTGGTTGTGGTTGACATCCGTGCTTTGCCACAAGGAGAATTATGTTGTCTTCTCCCTATAAAACAGCTGAGGTGATGTTTTTATATAGGATCCCATTCTTTATTGATTGGATCATCCTAGGCTAGGAATGGGAATGGGGATGTGTGCGCTTTTCTCTGTGTGCATATATGTGTGTGTGTGTATGTGATATGAGGGTAATTGTCTTTGTATGTGTGCAAATTTTATAGGAGTGAAACTGGCGCCGGCTGAGGAGGAAGACCTGAGGATGAGGTGGCAGCGTGCAGTCGGGCCGCGATATGAAGTTATTGTACGTCAAAACATTTCTAAAAACAAACTAAAGATAATTTTATTGTATGTATGTAAATGCTGTATCATTTTATTTCATCCTGTGCCACATGTAATTAATGTCCATTTAAAGAAGTAAAAAACACATTTTACTTCAATTTGCTACTCTTCTTCTTTTTCCCACAATTCAACTTCACATCACTCTTTCAGGTTTGTCATCTGGAGCGTTTCAGTGAGACAAGTGGTCTTGGTATCAGTCTGGAGGCTCGGGCAGGACATCATTATCTGTGCTCCGTTTTACCTGAGGGGCCTGTGGGCCAAAGTGGCAAGATCTTCAATGGAGACCAGATAATGGAGGTAACTGACTGATCCTTTCTGCTATGAGATCATGTAAAGTGGAGTGATATATAATTTGTGTGGAACTGATGGATTAGCGATAGTTTCTTACTATACTAAACCATAACATATAGTTTAGTCAGGAAAACTTTTTTAAAAAGAAAACTTTATTTCCAAATGCACAATGTTATATTTGGCAATATGGCTCTGTTCTGGGAGCTCCTTGCCCTTCCAAGTGCATATATGGAAAGCCTAAGACAAGGAGAGCAGCAGCAAAGACCCCCAGGGTACAGAACAGAGCAGGCATCAATGACAACAGAAAGGACATTGATTAAATCAGATACAGCAGAGCTTGTTCTGTGAGCTGAGCCTGACTTCATGGCTGGCCTAAACTCATGCTGTGCTCAATTTGTGTATTTTTTTCATTTTACATTATAGTTAACTTGTTAACCAAAACCAAGTGTGGAAAAATATTTTAATTTAGTATTTTAGTGAACTAAATGAAATAAAAATATATAGGAAATGTCTTTAGTTTTAGTCTTTGTTAATTTGTCAAGACGACAAGAATAAGAAAGTGTTTTTATTGAGACTGGGATGTCTGAACTTTTTAAACCTTGCCTTCCACAAATATCACCCATATTACAATAAAAAATCAAAACTAATAAGCTTAACTAAACCTGAACATTTACCATTTACCAACACTAAAAACTAAACTTACTGTGCAAACCCACTCTGGAAACTTACTGAAACTAAACTGAATTTTAAAACGAAAATGAAAAATAAAATAAAAATAAATCTGCAGTAAACACCACACATTGTCAAGTACAGTATGCAACTTTTTCCCTTAAGGCAGCAATAGACAGTCATAAGAAGGTGGGTGTGAGTATGTGTGCCTCTGTGTATTTGTGCTTGTACTGTAGTGGGGGGGGGGGCTCGCCCTCCTCCCCCTCCACTGGGCAAGTTCACGCACCCACACGTATCGCTCATCATGATGAGCAGTCTGATGAACTCTTGGACAATGTACTGTAGCTTTGCTCGCAATATAGAAAGCACTACAAACTAGCTTGTGTTCTTTGTAGCTTTGAGTGCACAGCAGACATCTGTGTTGCAGCTCAACCCTTTGATCTCCTTCAGACAACATCAGTGCGGGAAAACCATTGTCCAGTTCCGTTTTTATACGAGCCTCACGTGGTTACTGCTTTCAGCTTTAATTGTTTTTTCTGTGGCTTGATGTACCCTGACCATTAATTGCACCATGATACCAAAAACTGAAATACCACTCAAGATATCAAATTTTAGGGCTGATTTAGTCATGTACACTCATAGAAACAGTTACAGACAGACACAAATATACAATAAAGTCTTTTTCTTTAACCTTTGATTAGCAGTACAGGTATTTTTCAAAAGCTAGAAGCATGACTCAGCCAATCACTGACCATAGGAATATCCAGTTTAGAAATAATGAATGTGTCTTCCTGGCAGGTGAATGGGATCCCTCTCATTGGAGAGACACATAAGGAGGTGGTCAATATTTTGAAGGAGCTGCCGATGCACGTTTGCCTGGTGTGTTCTCGCATCGTACCCCCTGTAATTCCCGACAGCGATGAGGAAGATGACGACGATGATGTCCGTCTCACCCTGAAAGAGCTGCTGGCCGAGTTCAATGACAAAGTAAAGGGATACATGAATGAATGGATGAACCATGTTAGAATTGTTACACAAATTTAAACAACGTCAGACACGCCACCAACGTGACACTTTCTTGCAAATTGATCCCCTTTCCTGTGTCCTCTCTCTCCCCTCTGCTCGTCCCAGTTGGACCAGGGCTGTGTCATTCCCTGTCCTACGGCTGAGGACATCACCAAGCGTGGTGTGCCCCCCATGTCACCTCCTCTGGCCATGTGGGAAAGAGAGGCTCAGGTGGTTGAGCTGGAGAAAGGCGAGTCGGGACTGGGCTTCAGTATCCTGGACTACCAGGTCAGAGACATGCCCCTGAGCCTTTCTACAAATAGAACCGACTGGAATAGGCTGCAGTCTAAGAATATCAGTGTCAGGTTGGATAGGATGAACACATACTAAGAAAATATAGAAGCATGTGGACTCCTTGTATTCTCTATATTTGTGCTCTAAACTGTTGAGTACTCTCTAAATTGCTGTTCCATTTTAGATTAAATACACGTTCAATCTGTAGCAAAAATCATGTATAATGAAATAGTCCCCCCCCCATCCATTTTCTTTTGTACTATACACTTGTTCTGTTATTCTATGGTTTAACTGCATTCAACTGTCTTTTCAATCCACAATGTAGCTAATTTATCTTAGATTTTTACATGTATATCTTCAGCAAACCATCCGCTCCATCCTTATGTCAAACTCTAGGATCCAGAAGATGCCACTAAAACAGTTCTTGTAATCCGGTCCTTGGTGGCTGGAGGTGTAGCAGATCGTGATGGCCGCCTGCTACCTGGTGACCGACTCATGTTTGTTAATGAAACCGACTTGGAAGGCTCCAGCCTGGATTATGCCGTGCACGTCCTGAAGTCCACCGGCTATGGCCCTGTCCACATTGGAGTTGCCAAACCACTGCCGGTATGTAAAGAGAAATTTTATTAGTGTGCAAACTGTACCATGGTTTTTCGGGGAGATCACGATTTCTTATAGTATGGGGGGGTGGCTGCTTGTGATTGACTCACAGTATGCTGACTACAAAACAGAGCAATGAATAATAGCAATTCAGCATGCAAACTGAGTGGGACTAAGAAAAGGATCTCTGAGTGAAAGCGAGTAGAGTTTATGATATTGTGATGCTCTTCAGTGGTGATGGCAAGAAAAGCATGCATGCTGGTGTCTTTATTAAAATGAATTAGATCACTCTAATGCATGAATCATATGTCTAATAGTCTAATTTATACATGATTCATGATGATGAAGATACAAAGAGATAGAAGTGCATGGAAAAAATAGCATATTGACAATATATATAATATATTTCTGAGAGCCCCCGCCCCACAAAATTTCACAACTCATGTTTTCTGGGGAGCTTGTGTTATATTAAGAGGAGCAAAGCTCCCGCTGGCTTCCCCTGTAGTTCACATCCTGAATTTAGCACTTAATTCAATTTGATAAGGAGGTAAATTTCCATTTTAGCAATATCAATATAAATCATGTTGAAGTAAGTTTTCTTGAAGATTAAATCAGAAACTGTTGGGTAAAATAATACTAAAGTATAAATTGTATGGCAAAAACTGATGATATATTGTCATACAGTATATATCACCACATTGCCCAACCCTATGTTCATCTAGGAAATTTGTTCTGAAACACACATTAATTATCATGGGCTGCAGTCTATGGACTCATGAACTCAAAAGTGGATTTTTTTTCATAAAATGATTTACCAAAATGAAATTGTATATTAATAAACTCATAAAAAAATACATTCATTTCCACTGACAGGCAGGACAATTACTTAAATGTATGTTTTTTTCTTGCAAGTACAGTATTTCCTCCCCCTTTTGTTGTGGACTGTGGCTTAGTAACAAGGAGCAGAGAATCCAGTTACAGGCCGTCTGAATATTTAATGCAGCTGAGAGATGAACACAATGCTCGACCACACTACAGATGGAGAGAGAAGGGGAGAGGAGAAGAGGGTGTCTAATTTACAGTCACCTTCTTTAGCCTGTTTGCTTCCATGTGAATTTACCCACTTTTAAGCACATAGCCAGTTTTTGTTTTTTTTACAAACTCCTTAGTTTCAACTTTGAATTTTGTATTCTCAGCTGGAACTGTGTGGTGGCTTAACGCCCATCTCAGAGAGGAGCACGCGGGCTTCCTGCGATGACACTGACAGCCACACTCAGGTCAGCCTGCTAGCTGAGGCAGGGGACGCTAACACCAACACTTTCAACTCTGAGGACAACAGCATCACCCAGCAGCATTACACGACAACGGTACGTCATACAACACAACATGAACATCAGTAAAATGAAATATTGCAGGTCAGTTCTTTGTACATACTTTCTGCTCAGTTTTTGGCTTTCGTGGTCAGAAAAACAGCAGAACTTGGATCCACAGGAGAGTAAAGGGCAGTTTGTTTGTCTCTTAGATTTGACAAAAAGTTAGGGCAGAGGTTGTCCATTTTTTATAGCACCGGTTTTATGTGCAGAAAATGTACTGTCCTTGTTGAAATTAAGTAGTTTAAAATGTTATTTTGTTCATAATTGTTCAACAATCGTGCACATTCATCTAACAGGATTCTTGTAAAATATTCTTGCTTGATGCTTTAGACTCAGCAGGAAACATCTTTGCAGTGACAGTTACAGTAACACTGCAGCAGTCTGAATGTTACAGTCCATCGCACAGGAAGCATTGCTCATTACCATGCAAACCCGAGATTCTGTGGGTAGCCATTTTAGTTGCTCTAAAGGAGATTACTATGACAGTGTCTGCTCTCTCTGCTCACGTTCTATAGTGGGGAGCTTAGAGCCACCTGTATCAGTATCACTGGGTCAGGTATAGAGAAAGTGCTCAGTGTCAAAGACTTGTTGCTCCATTGTGGCTTCAACTCAATCCTATTGAGGCAGCCTTTTGTTCTCGCTTTTGCTTAATTATCCACAATTACCTTTCAATGGAAAGTGCTTACCGCTTGCACGACATTGGCACCTGGTGTAGCACAAGGACAAACAGTGCTACACCAGGCTACACCACACACACACACAAAGAGACTCAGAGCAGCAAGTGTCACTGTGTTCTCATCAAAGACTGGCTTGTTGCAAAGGTAGCTTCAGAACTTCAGTGCTGCTTGTACTTTCTGTGAAGGTTCAAAGACGATCTCCTCGTTGCCCTTTTTCTTTGGGAAGTGCCGGGGGGGACCAAAGAAGTCTACCTTCTTGCATGTTTTACATTTCAGAATTACTCCAAAGGCCTTCACCTTGGAGAGTTAATAGTTGTTTGAAGTACTTTTTGTCTCATACCAGAAATCTGATTGGTTGTGATGATAGTAGGACTTTAGACCCACGTTATCTTTGCAATATGTATTACTTTTCTAGAAGTTGTAAGATTTGCTCCATGTAATGTTCCACAAAGCCTCTGTTCTGCAATTCCATCATAATGGCTGCTTCTCTATGGCCCTGTTATTTGTTCCACTCTTGACTTTTTAGCCATGTTAGCAGCAAGGCTCTAGGAATGTCAATCTCTCAGTTGGTCAGTCGGCCTGTTGGTTAATCCAGACTTAAATATCTCAACAAGTTAAACACCTCAACCAATATTGGATGAGGTTCACATTTGTGGCTCAGAGTGAAATATCTTGCCAACTATTTGATGCATTGTCGTGAACCTTTCTACAGATATTCAAGCTCTGACTTTTCCCCTTGCGTGGTAGCCTCAGCTGTACTTTGCATTTCTTGCTAATTAGCATGTTAGCATGCTAACATACTTAACCAATGGTGAACATGGTAAACGTTATACCTGCTCGTCCCACTGTCATGCTCTTACTCACCCATGCCCTCTGCTGTCTCTTAGGAAAATCAGCTGCGTCATCGTTTCGGCATCATGGAAGATGACGATAGGCAGCAAGCACCTCCACTGCCCCCCCGCACCAGCTTTGAGAGGACAATCACTGTTGTCCGGGGCAACCGTAGCCTTGGTATGTTCTCCGTCTTTCTCATGGTGATGGTGTCTTGGTGTGTGTACGTCGCTGGCATGGCAATAATGACGCTAATAGGCGGTGGTGATGACGACTGCCCTGAAGAGGAGTGGTGAAGTTATGTGCTCCTCATACCTGAGAGAGGCGATGATTACTGTGTGTATGTGTGTGTGTGTGTGTGTGTGTGTGTGTACTGTATGTGTGTGTGTTTGTCCGAGAGGCTAGTATGGGGGTCAAAGTAATGTGAAATAATCTTAAGAAGTAATATTAAAACCAATAAGTATATTTATTTGACTGAACTATATGTGTTTTTATACTTTAGTGTTGAGAGTACATTGTCTTTACTGCTCCAAGAGCAAGTCCAATGTCTGGCTGTTCAAACATGACAGGAAGGAAACAACAGGGTGTTGTGTCCAGGCACTCCTGCACTTTCATCTGAGGGCGCTATGCAAAGCATAAGGGAACAAACTCATTTGTAGTATGTAAACGTTCTCTAATAAGGCATTGCACACTTGTGTGTGTGTGAAAGTTTAAAATTATGTAAATGTTCTTAGGTTGAGAAACTCAAGGTCATAACCTTCAGTCTGTGTTACTACATTCTTTGGTTTTCTTTTGTTTAAAATATTGTAGGTCTTCTTGCTGAGATATTTCATGTTGCATGGTTTTCTGGAGGGTTTACAGATTTTCTGTGTTTTTGGTTATTTAGCAAAGGCTTCCTCTTGGGCAGAGTTATGGTCTGTATCTGTAAGGCCTGAATACGGGGGGGTTTCTATGTAGTATTGTAGTACAATATTTATTTGTACCACTTTACATACTTCCTGTTATTGGGTGCCATGTACAGTTCTATCCATTACGTAACTATGACTTTATGCCCAATTTTGGAGTTGAGACATGCTAACGTAACATGTACAGTATGTACATTGTATGGTTGGTTTGTACTACAAGGACTGTATGGCTTTTAGAGCAGCTTGTTAAAGGAAAAGGTTTGATGGACTAAAATGAGGTCTTTTATTCTTGCCTTGTTCGTCTAAAAACATGAATATAAGCAGCCTATTTCGAAGTCTTTGCTTTTTCTTGAATGGTGTAAACCTACTGCACTTACTGTAAGTTTGTGGTACCCTAACAAACTTTTTGTTGAGAGCAAAACAAATCAATTTGCATATGGAAATTTCCATGGGAATTTAAAATAGATTATTATGAAATGTTTTTGCAGCAGAGTTTTGTAATAGAAAAATGTATTTTTATGCTGTGTTATAATATTTCAACACCTCTGGATTTTGAGACATTGATCATTATGACTTCAGACTTCCTCTCATGTCTTTGAAATGTGTGTCTTATGTTTGTTTTGTCAGTTTCAGTAGCTGTGTCTCCAGTCCATTGTATTCCAGGCACTATGATTGTATTGTAATTTGAATGTAATACCAAGAAACAATAAACTATTTATTTGATCAAAAATAAGCACAAAGTCATTTCTTTGACCAACTTCAAATTATGTACAACCATAGTGTTGTGGATGTGCTTAGTCCTCCTTTAGACAGAAATGTAGCACACAGGCGCCATTGGCTAGACTTCCTAATTTGTTGTAGCCATCCGCAGTGTGTGTATGTGTGTGCATGAGGTGTGTGTGTTTGTGTCTGAGCGTGATGCCTGACTTACCTGCTTCTGCCTGTTTGCATTAATTAAGTGTTTGTGTAATCTGCCTAGCGTCCAATTTGATAATGCCAAAGTCAGGTGTTTGTGCGACTGGCATGTGCTACCCCTCAAGTCACCTGTGCCCTGTGCCCGATCTGGGTGTGAGTGTGTGTGGTTGTGTTTGTGCACCTTCTGCAAGTGTGGCTGTGAAGGATGATGCCGTGTAAATGTCAAGCATGTGTAGCCATGTTTGTGTGCTAATCTGCCTAGTGTCTGTCTTGATTATGCTGATTATGCCACTGTCAGGTGTTTGTTTGTGCGACTGTCTGTTTGGCATGCAGTCAAAGCAGCCTTAGCCAACCCTCCACTCACCTGTGTTCGTGTGTGTGTGTGTGTGTGTGTCTGTGTATGTGTGTGCGTGTTGGCAGGGATGTCGGTGAGTGCTATCAAGGACGGCTCAGGCATGCTGGTACGCAGTGTGGTCCAGGGGGGCTCTGTTAGCCAGGATGGCAGGCTGGGGGTTGGGGACGCCATCTTGGCCATCAACGGAGAACCTACCTCCAACCAGACCAACGCCAGGGCCAGGGCCATGCTCCGGAAACACTCTGTCATAGGGCCAGAGATGAGGTGAGGAGCCAGTCACTGTCCAACAGCATTACGTTATGTAGAGAGCTCTGTACTGGGCTGAACAAAAACAACAGGTGATCATGTTATTACATCACGGTGTACCCCACATAAGTTAATGAAAGTTTTCTCACACAACATCACTTGGCTCTCTTTGGATCACCTGATCTCAATAATCCTCAACCTGTATCAAAAACCACTCAGCGGCTGCCAGTGCAACACTGTTTACAGTGGCTCAAAAGCTGCTTTAATCTTGACATTTCCTAATTGTTGTAGTAAATGGATCTGACATCAAGTACAGTCACACAGCTGTAAATGTAAAGATTTTGTTGTTGTTAATGTTTGGGCAGGGGGGTTGTTTTCAGCCAAAAAAAAGTCAAAGTGTAATGTTAAAAGAATTATTTTGGATAGGTTTTACTAGGTCTTTATCAAAGCAGACATTTTGACTGTCATGGTAGCACAGGTGTTACTAATAAAATTAGCGATGGCTTCATTCTAGTCATGACAGTGTGACAGTGAGCCAGCAGAGACAATATCAGGACCCCAAAAAACAAAGCAGCTAAATTGGATTCAGCCATCATTCATTTGATTATTTAGACCTGTGCTTTTTCTACCGTGACATGTCAAAATGTATTCTGTGATAAAGACCCTGCACACCCACACAGGTGTTTTCACTTATTCTGGTGAATTGGACATCTGCTCAGGATGAAGTTGAGCTATGTTGGATTTACATTAAATCACCAGGCCAAATGATAAAGGTGTCACTCTTCAAACCCAATAAAGTAGGTGTGATAAAACAAATAGGACCAGAGACATTTTGACGAAGCAGTCTGAACAAGCCCACACTATAAACACAATAAATGAAAACCCCTGTATGATATACAGGAAACTCGCAAAATTGAGTTTTATTATATAGAACACATTTTATTGTGGTATTCTTCAATATAAAATTCTACATCCTTACACATAGTATCTTTAGAATCGCAAATTCATCTTAACTAGATGCTGGTCTTGACTCAGTATGAAGCTATCAATAAGTCATCATGGGAAATGAAATGCTTTCAAAAGACCTTTGTCACAGCAGCTATTTTGAGAGGAAATAGTAGGGTAAACACGTGTTACCAATGATACTATTTAACGTTCCACTCTCTTCAAAACAAACCGAGTCAGGGTGCTGCTGTTGTGCATGCTGGCTCACCAGATACTGATATACTGAAATTTGTTGCATATAATTATAAATATATTATATATATGGTATTTTTGAATAATATCATCATCCGTATCTCTGCATATAATCCATTTTGAGTTTCAATGCAACCACACAGTGCTGTGCCTTTTAACAGCTGTTACTACCTCACCAGCATGAATTGTGTAGGTTACAATATAACTGATAATGTAATGTAACACATAACATGTGGTGGCCACAACCTACGACACAAAGCAAGGCCTTGCATTGGGCCCAGCGTTAAACTAGGACATGTGGGTGGCACATTTAAAACAGATTCCAGTCAGTTATTTAGTGCAGTTATTTATAATACATTCATATGCACTTTCCCCCTTGTAATAGTTCCAACACGTCTTTGCTTGAAAAATGAGAAAAGCCAGACTTCTTAGTTTAGAGTGAATGTAGAAAGCTCCTTTGGGAATGCAGAAAACAATCAACCACTGAGGAATAAAAGTAATTGAATACTGCTCACGTTTTCTAGATCTACCCATGCAGATCTTGACGGTCTGTGTGACTCGAATGAGTGAGTATATGTACATCATAAACATAAATTTGTGCTCTCCGCAATCGCAAACATGACTTTCACTACACCATCATGTATAAATGATCTTGTTTCACTTTGGATCTCCATTACCACCTTGTTTTTGACACTGCAGTCATAGTTGACTGAGGCACTGCAGTCATGTTAAATTAGATTAGATGATGAAATTTTAAAGATTGCCTGAAGGTAAATTGGGTAAATTATTACTTGTTCTAACATCAGCAGTTATGGCTCCACATTGACAATGCTTGTTTGGCTGATTGGAGATGTGCCCCACCTCCACCACCCTGCTGCCCTGCAAAACACCCACTCACTCTCCCTCAACCTTTCTGTCTCTTTCTCCCTCTCTCTCTCTCTCTCTCTCTTGCTTTTACAGGCACACACATACGCATACTTACACACACATACACAGCCTTTCAATGGTCTAACCTCCAAAAACACCTTTTTTCGGCAATGGGAAATATCTCTGAATAATTCATCACTCATCTCACCTTGAACAGTGCGCTTCTGAATAAAAGAGCGTTTTAAAGAGCCACTCATAGATGTACACACAATACACACGCAGATGGACACACACTTGCATTCTGTCTTTCTCTATTCCATGCACAAACACACACACACACACACACACACACACACACACACACCACACACACACACAAACTCCCACACACACATGCTCACACTGCCTCCTCCTGACAGCACTGCAGACAAACTAACAGAGAGTGGAGGCAGATGAGTTGCTTTGGCAGCCTCAGAATAAGACAGACATAGAAGGGTGAGGGCTTGTCACTATCAAACTGCCTCTGTTGAGACAAGACAGGCTGTCCACACGGCTCAGTCACAACAGCTTAGCGTAGAAGACCTCCATATTCAATCTGCCACCATGAGTGGAACAGAGAAATTGGCTCTTTCAGCAGATTCAACCAGCATGTCTACTGGTAGCGTCACACAAGAATGGAAGTGGGAGGGGGGGTTGGGGGCTTTAATGATGCCCTTGACACTTCAGTTAAATGACTTTGATTACGCCATAGCTTAGAAAGATCCGGGGATTATGCAAAATGCTTTTTTTTTTATCATAAATGTTGTGATTCAGAAACCCTTAGAACTGTCTAGAATCAGAAATGCATCTTTTGTGACAAGTGTACATTTAGTCACTTTCTTTCCATTTTTCTTTTCATCTTGTACCAGCTGCAGTACAAGCATTGTTGGTGGAGTGAAGCACATCTATAATTTTAGAGCACTTAAAAACATTTGGCATGTAAGGCAGCAGCCTCAGTAAATGTTAGTGGTTCTTTATTGGTTGTTTTTTCAGGAGATAATAATTATTTGGCGTTATTTAACATACTTCAGGTGTCCAGCTTTCCTCTCTCTTATTCACTGGTGCGTAATTGTTATGGTTAAAAACGATGACAATTATATAATAGGAAAAAACGCTTATTTGCTTTCTTACAGAAAGTTAGTTGAGACGGTGAATAGCACTCTCACTCAACCTCACAGTGACAACAAGACTCCAGGAAGTCACCATGTCCGGCCAAAAAATAGTCCCATACATAAAACCTTAAAACTCATTCAACCACAACTATTTCATTTTTAAACTTTGTTTTTTGCACAGATTAAACAGAAATGATACAAGATAGATAACGTGAGCTTTACATGCGCTAGTTGGCAGATTTTTGTACCTTTGGACGGAACCAGGCTAGCTATTTTCCCCTGTATCCAGTCTTTATGCTAAGCTAAGCTAACTGCTCACTGTAGCTTCATATGTATATAATGCAGACATGAGAGCGGTATCAGTCTTCTCACCTAGCTCTCGATAAGAAAGCGAATACAAGATTTTCCAAAATGTCAGACTGCTTCTTTATACAATAACATCCCATTATTCTCACTGTCAGTTGCAGAGGTAATAATCCATCTATCCTGTACAGAAACCATTCACTAAGTGTCACTTGTCTTGTTCCCTGTCATCCTAGTCATTGTTTGGCGCTGAAAGTTAAATGAATGTGCAGCTGTAAAAACAGAGTGATGGGAGGACTTAAATAATATTAACATTTAAAATGTTTTCACCCCACCCCCACATTTCTTTTCCCACAATCCCCTTCCCCTCAGCATAACCTATGTCCCGGCCCATCAGGTGGATGAGTATCGTACCTATCTGTGTTTACCCTCTCTGGCATCCATCGCAGCAGACATCGCCTCTTCCTCACCCACCCCACCAAACCCATCTCCAGAACCTGCCTCGGCCCCGGCCAGTTCCCTCGGTCCAGTCAGAGGTGTAGCTCCGTCTCCAGCTTCATCCACCCTCAAACACCCTGCCTCAGTTGCATTTAAAGCTGCAGCTCCAGATCCAGCAGTAGTCAGAGCCTCTGTTTCATTCAAAGGCCCCACCATCAACCTGGCCCCAGACTCAAGGTAATGTAAGATCCAGAGGTCTCAGCCTATTATTTATGGTCACCTAATCCCTACTCTGGCCCCAAAGTGCAGGATAAACCTGTCTCAGGGTTTATTAGACTTCAAGGCTCCAGCTTTATTACATGTTGATATGTTTGCTGCAGAGAATTCAGACTATGAAACAGCTATACATTCTGCCTGAGGTGAGTTCTTTTAATATGTTATCCTCAGGCTTTTGATTTTTATAGCAGCCAGGATTTTATTACCGTAACACATCACACATTTCAGTAACCCAGCAGCTTAAGTCATACTAATGATCTGAGTTATTATCTGACACTTTAATTAACCGTATCCATGAGGAAACAATGTGTTTCACTGTGCAACCAGCTCAGCGTGTCTCTTCCAGTCCGTATTTTCTCTTCTCCATTCTTTTTTGTGGTAAAAGGCAAAAGCTTCTCTGAATGTTGAATCTCTGAGTTATATTTAGCCATTCGCTTATGGATCTCAGTGCTGACTGTCAGCGAAAATGAATTGTTTCGCTTCTGTCTGTCCCTGCTTTCGCTCCATCTTCCTGCCTCTGCCTTTCTCCTCTCTCCCTCCCTCCCATTTCTCTCTGCAGCCTTTTCTTCGCTCTTATCTTTAGATACATTGTCTTTGTCTCTTCTCAGCTAGACTTCTTTCTTGACTCTTTGTGCCTATGTCCATCTCTCATCTCTCTCTTTCTCCCTCAGTCATCTTCTTCTGGTCTTTTTCTCTTTACCTCATTTTCTCCCTCCTCATCCCTGCTTTGGTCTTGTCCCCCTCTCCTGGCCACTCTCTTTCAGCCCTGGTGGAACCATTTGTTCTGCCCTCTTCTGTAACTTAACTGGCTATAGGCTCCTGCTGCGCAGATAGCACCACTATCACTCACCTCCATGGGCTTATTACAGCCCTCCGCCGTTAAATATATTCATGAAAAATTCTTTCCTTCTCTACCTCTTTCTTTGGCGCGCACACACACACACGCATACACACACACCTATATATATACACAGAGATACTGTATAAAATGTGTGTTAACAATCACATGCACAAACACACACATACGCACACACACATATAAAGACACTACCTCCTTACTGTGACCTCGGGGCAGAAAATGTGTATTTTCTTCTGAAGGCCCCACCAATATAGGTCACTTTTGGCGGTGTTTTACAGTGTGTCAGGACTGGAAACAATAACATAATACGTCAAAGCTGCCTTGTTATCCACAGAATGTCTGCTAGCGTGATCGCTTTATTTCACCGAGTGAAGGCAGCAACTAAGGATTATTTTCATTAAGGATTACAGTAATCTATTGATTATTTTTTTGGATATAAAACATCAGAAAACTGGGAAAAATGTTTGTCACAATTTTCCAGAGCTCAAAGTGATGTCTTCCAATTTTATTTATTTATTTTACAATCAACAGTCCAGACATAAATAGACGTAAAAGAAAGAGAAAAGCAACAAATCCTTACATCTGAGAGGCTGGAATGAAATAATATTTAACAATTTGCTATTATATGAGTATTAACTGAATGCATCTTTGTTTTAAATAAAATAAAATAAAATAATAGGAATAAAATGTTAAAAATAAGATTTTATGACCAGAGAGTTAACTGTTTTGAGCATTAACAGTGGTATACATAATAATGCATGCTATTTTGTCATCAGTTGGCAGATTCCAAAATCTCTTCCTCACAAGAACAGAGGGGAAGGAAAAGAAGATGGAGAGACTGTGGGAGAGAAAAGGGACAAGAGTAGTGTAGATGGGAAAGTTACAAAGATGAAGGCGGAGATAAAGGTGGATGGTAAAGAGGAGGGAGAACGGGAGCTCCATTCTCATACCACGGTGACTTGGGATCAACCCAGAAGGTAAGTGAATCAGTGATGTAAATAACAGTCTTTTTATCAGATTTTATTCAGATTTTACATTATCTGCCTTTTTTTTCAAAACTCTGCCCATGATGCCCTTTATCCTCTTTCTACCAGAGAAGGCTTAGCGAAATCCTAGTGTGCTCAGGTTATGTTCACAGCAGGGATAGAGCAGCACAGTGCCAACTCAACATGCTCATATTTCTTAGGCCCAGAGAGAGCGACTACTTTCACAACCTGTATTTATCGCATTTATGACTGCATCCCCCCTTGGATAAATCACATAAGCTGCAGTGCATGCAAAGACCAGCTTTTGTGTGTCTCTCTCTCTGGCAGGTATAATATTCTATTGTTTTGACTTAATCTCTGAATCCCTAAGCAGCAGACAGAGGGAGACTGAAAGAAAAAAAAGCATTGGATTAATTCTCCTTCTTGTGCATTTTTGCAGTAATGTTTCAAATGGTTGTCATCAGGCATACAGAAGACATGCATTCATCATCACTGTACATATAATATAAGAAGGATTAACAGCTCTGCACTTTGTGTGGATGTTCCTTGTATCCTGCTTTGTGTTCTAGTTTGCGGCTGACTCGAGCACCAGGCCAGTCCCTGGGCATCAGCATAATGGGAGGCAGAGGCATGGGCCGAAGACTGAGCAGTGGAGAGATGATGAGGGGAGTCTTCATCAAGCACATCAGCCCCGACAGCCCGGCAGCACATAATGGTACCCTACGGACTGGAGACAGGATACTAGAGGTATGTGTGTGTGCTTAACTGTGTGGGTATTGCAGAGACAGAGGAAGAGACACACCTATTACAGGAAAAAGAAGTGTGTGTCTGTGTGTGTGTGTGTGTGTGTGTGTGTGTGTGTGTGTGTGTGTGTGTGTGTGTGTGTGTGTGGCAGAGAGACTGAAAAGAAATCAAAAAAGGAAGTGTTTCTGCTTCATTAGCATGTGGTCATACACTGTATTCTGTGTGTGTGTTGTGGCTGAATTTGCACTCATCTGGTATTGTTTGTGGACTCTGTGGTATTGAACGATGACAATTTGATAATAATATGATATAGAAATGAACAATCCTGTTGCCTAAATAACCAGACAATGCTATTTGCTCTAACCCATTATCTACTGTAGGTACGTTTAGCTTTATTGTCATTGTACAATACACTGACACTTTGTCAATATAACAAAGAAACAGAATTTAAATAGGTGAATAATACTTTTTAAGTGTGTTTTAGGTGCAAAACTTCTTTATACAAACTAATAAAGTGCCCAATAATATACCTCACTGTGTCTTGCCTACACATATCTTGTAAATATTTTTTATTTACAGTAACGAGGAAATCCAAAAGAACAAAAAGATAAAAGAACTGTGAACATTTTAAGGAGCACTGACCATTAGACATCAGATTTTGATCTCTTGTTGTACTAGGTCCTTGTGGACTATATTGGAAATTAATGAGGAAGACAGCTTTAATGAACTATGGGATTTACATGATTGACACATCATCTTGATTCCTTGTTAATTCGGGTAATTTCACTATATCAGCCTAAAAACAGACAGTCTAATTTATTTGATCTATATCTAGACTGTTTTTAAATTCCATTTCCAGAAAATGTGGCAGATTTGATCCATATGGCACACTCCTATTAGCCATATCATGACACATATTAGTTGAAAGAGTGGAGAAAATTGTGTTTTTGTCCAATATCTATTGGGTGTGTTGATTTTTCCAAGGTGTGTGGTGTGGACCTAAGAGATGCCAGCCATGAGCAGGCGGTGGAGGCCATCCGCAGGGCTGGAGACTCTGTCATCTTCCTGGTCCAGTCCGGACAACAGAGATCTCAGGTACTGCATCTCAGAAAACAGCCCAAAAAAAGCACATTTTTCCTGACTTAGAATCCACTGTGCAATATATATATATATATATGCAAGTATGCATATGTTACATTGTGTACCATTTGAGTCTCTTGAGGCTCCAGATTCCTTCACACTGAATTTAAATACTCTGCAAATGCAAAGGTGCAGTCTATATTCTGCTCAACACTCCAGAAGTGTCAGAAATCTTGCATGTGGGAGTTTGTAGCATCACAGTATGATGTCCTCTGGAAACAAAGCCTATTGAACAAGAGTATCTTTGGCTGAAAATTTATTTTCATATAACAAAACATATTGGATGCACTATTTGAAGCATCTCTGTCTCACAGCCATATAGACATTCATCTGCCTACTCTGCATCTTGTGTTTCGCCCACAGTCCCCTATGCTTACCAACCATGAGAGGCTAACTCCAGCACCACAGTCCAGCTCACACAGCAGCAAGGTAACACTGATCTACTAGATACTCTGAGCTTCACATTGCTGTTGTTGCAGCCTTGAGATAATGATAGTATAGTATGGAAAATGATATTCACTGAAATGTATAGCATTTATACATGGCATTTATGTATATATGTAGCTACTTATTTGTGTTTTAGAAGTTGTGACCACTACTTTAGATTTGTTTGGAACAGATGACAAAATGTGAAATCATTTTTCTCAGTTTTTGTTCCCACAGAGTTACTAATGTTTGGCTGTGTATGGCTGTAGTGTATAGTGTATGTTATGTATACACTATATTATATATAGAATGATGAGTCAGTAACACCTACATGACATTCCAAGAAGAATGAAAGAGCTTTTAAGGGTTTTTTTTAGGGGGGATTGCTGTTTTGACGGTAATGTGTATAGGACTATATCTGTGTTTCCCCTCATGATCGTAGGAAGCAGAGACTCTCAGTGGTCTGTTCCTTAGTCTCTCCCATACAAACCCCTTCACTCCCACCCCCTTTAAGGTTGGTACATTGTTGTGTGTGCATGTGGGTGTGTGTGTTTGTATGTATGTGCGTATGTGTGTGAGTGCTATCATGGGTATGCAGCATCTTAGAAGCAGCCTTGCATTAGCATTTGCACTAAGCCAACTTCCAAAAACTTAATTAACGTGCATATTTGTAGATAGAACACTTGTAGTTCAAAGTCCCATGCAGCTACCTTGTTTGTTTAAACCCTTTGTTTTTCTCTTTGGTGGAGATGCATAACTCTCTAAATAGACAGTGCATTCTTTTGAAGTTATTTTTCCTTGCACTTGTGAGGTGGTTGCAAAATAATGCATGATTCTGGTCATCTTTCATGTTATTTTTAGCTGACATTAAAACCGTGTTCATTAATTCATCCTGTTCGTCAGTTTTTCCTCACTGCTACATCAAGCACACTGAACAAGCCCCAGGGATAGTCCAACTCATGCCTGAAGGACCCCTGAGGCATCTCCAACTTTGCCTGTTCAATAATGCAAAAACTTCTCCCAAGGTACCTTCGTCGACATCAGATAGAATGGATTGGAGAAGCCCCATAACTGCCACCTCACCTATCACGATGGCAGCTGAAGACGAGGATGACACTGGCTGGAGTAAGTCTGCATCATAAAGACGTCACACAGACATACACAGGGATCCTCCAAAGCCCCCAGGAACAGGAGCGGTGTGGCAATATTAGTCTAGTGGCCACCGTCACACAGTGCAGGTCACATGATTCCCTCTGGCCCATTAAGACTTTGTGCTATACACATCCATTATAAAACAAAAAGCTAAAGAAGAAAATTCAAAATTAAAAATATCATGAGTGTCACACATTCAGAAATTACTTATCACAATTTGGAACATTACGGAAAGGTCCATTATATGCTATGATTATTTTCATGCTATTCTCATGTGAAGCCAGTTGGCCAGGCCCGAACTACAATGTGAATACATTATGTATGTTTTTCTGTACAGTATGTAACTTTTCTCGTTATTTAGTTGTATCCATTGTTTGGTTTGCTCAATGCACATACAGTATTAAAAATGCCCTGTGGAGTTTTCTTTTAAACAAACAAAGTTTCTGTATACAGTCAAAATCTACGGAGCCCCCCTGGTGACATTGGATAAAAAAAGAATTATGCGTGGCCACGAGATAATTCACCTTCAGTAGCGGGATGGTTATCCATATGGAGCTGTCAGTGATGCTGTTTATTATTCATGAATAAAGGTAGTTTATAGCCTGCTTTTATATTCAAGAGTAGCTTTGTTATTATTGTCATGGCGAGTGTAATGTCAATAATAATGCTATGACGGGCTCTAAGTGAAGCCGGACATGTCACTGTTGGTAATGCTAAATGCAGTCCCTCAAGAAAAACGCAATTATGCGATCGCATAATTCAACGCATAATCAGCCAAAGTCCGCACATTTATTTATTTTCAAATGATGCATATATGCATGATTTCATAATCCCTGCATTTTCGTTGCAAAAAAGTCACATATATCTTCGCAGAAAGTTGACAAATGTTGCGTGTTTACTTCACACAAGAACAGCAATTTTCCTCCTGTTGCCATGGGAACGTTATGAAGTGACGTCATCGGAAAGCTGCAAACCCCGCAAAAAAGACCTGATAAAGTCCGCAAATCAGTCTCATTTGTGTGTTGTGTTGTGTTGTGTTGTGTTGTGTTGTGGTGTGTCTTGCTAAGAATTACTCCATGCTTAACCGCAAGTGACTGAAGTATGTCATTGTAATTCATTCCTATATTAAAATAAAATGAAATTAATTCAATCTTGTCCATGTTAACAATCAACAGTCTCTGCATGGAAATGACTGCAATAATTATCTTGTGCTCACGCGTTACTATCTTGTGGCCACGAGATAATAACGAATGGCCACGCATTATTTTTTTTTTATCCAATGTCACCAGGGGGGCTCCGTAAAAATCCATTGTGTGAGTCCTTGAGGTATAATAAATGTGTATAATGTGATTTTTTGTAAAAAAAATCTGAAACCTGTGTTGTTAACATCAACATGTTTGCTAGCTAGCAGGCTCAGCAGGCTCTTTCTTCACTGTTACTGTACTGTTATGTTTGTTGGCATGGTACCACCTCCTGGAGATCAGTCAAATAGCATGAAACTGTTAGCAGGAATGTGTAACATGCTTGTGTACTTGTACTTGTAAGAAAGTCTATGTGACCGTGCTTATATACATATATTTAAATCTGAATCCTGCAAATATTTGTGTGCATACGCACAAGTCAATACACACGAATAAAGACATGTACACATAGAAAAATTATCAAGCACACAGAAACCCACAATCACCCACATATATATAATTAGTGTCATGTTTTTTAGTGATACAGTACATGCGCATGCACTCTCACACACATACCTCTTCTCTTGCACACACAAGCCCCATATAGTCATACTGTATTATGTGCATTATACAGAAACACAGACATCCTTCACCTTTCCCTCAACATGACTGACATCATCCCTTCCAGACAAATTGCAGCAACACACATTCACACAAGCTCCTCTAGGGTGTAATGCTTCCTCTCCACATGAAGTGTCAGTCATCACATGTAGCATCTCACTTTTTTTGGCTTACCCGTCATATCCTCCTCCTAACAGGCTCCCGTTTGTTAACTCTGCCTCTCTCCTAGAAAAGATGCTTCAGCGTTATGGCAGCCTGTCTGGGAAGCTCCATATGATTGAGCTGGAGAAGGACCCTGCGGCTCATGGCCTGGGAATCAGCCTCACAGGGAACAAGGATGGGTCCAGGGCCCGCATGAGTGTCTATGTGGCGGATATAGATCCTCAGGGACCTGCTGGTATAGATGGGAGGATATGGGTTGGAGATGAGCTACTGGAGGTAAGGAGGAGAGTGAATTGGGACAGTAAGGGACAGGATGGTTGAGATTAACAGATGGGAGGGTTTTCAGGGGCCAAGACGGGTTGGTGCTCTAGAGAAAGACAACATATCATAGTCAAAATTGGGAGCAGCAACCGGAGAGCAGTGGGTTGTGGGTAGGAGGGGTGGATGAGTGGAAAGTGTTGAGTACCTGCACAGTAGATTTATCCGACACATTACCATTTGAAGGCTGGCTGCTGCTGGGCTGGATTCTTGCAATGAGCAACCGTGTAATAGAGAAGATGAGGAAAATTGAGGTAGAGGAGCGACTCAGAGGGGGAGGGGAGTGAGAAGAAGATGGCAGACTAATGTTGCGATGGATGGGATAAAGTAAAACATCAATGAGGCAATAGCACATGATGTGATTTTTCTTCTAGATCAATGGTCAGATCTTGTACGGACGGAGTCACCAAAATGCGTCCACCATCATCAATAACGCTCCGTCTAAAGTCAAGATAATTCTCATCAGGTAGGACATGTCGAGGGAATTCCTCGTGGCCTTTACATTTCTCCCAAACTTTTATTTATCAGGATTTGCTTTTGTTTTACTAGGAATAAAGCAGCTATGGGTCAAATGACCCAGGGATCCAGAACAGAGTGTGAGGACACAGTCGACTCCCAGACAAACTCTGCAGAGCCTGGAGGATTATCCACAGACACCCAGCACATCATCCTACCTCAGGTGCAGTACCTTCAGTAAATCTTGGCATTAACCATTGTCAGGCCTCCAGTTGCACATGTCTCAGTTCAAGCAACCAGTTGACTGGTATCAAACAACTTACTGTAGCAAAAACAGTCTTGATACTAGAGAAAATGAGAGCAAATACAGACAACACTGTTTATTAGCGTTGATAACTCTTGGTTCAAGGTTTTCCTTTTGTTTTTTGTTTTCAATCCCCCTCCAGGATCACGTTGGTCTTGGCCTCTGCCTGGCAGAGGAGGAGTCCAAGGAAGGAGTGGTGGTCAGGTCCCTGATTCAGCACGGCACTGCCAGTAAGGTGTGACATCATCAGTAGTATCATCATAATTAGCAACATCTTCCTCAATAATATATATATGTGCATGTATATTCTACTCTCTTACCTGTCATATTAATTATTTGTTCATATTATTATTAATAATAGCTGTCATAGTTTGATTTTAGTAGAAGCACTAATGTGACCCTTGTCAGAGTGTTATATTACATTAATAGATTATTATTACAGGTACATTGAGGTGTAAGCAACTGTAAGTTATTGATTGGAGCCAAACTACTTTATCCATTGTTGGATATACCTATAACAATGCATCTTATTTTTTAAGTTGGTCAAATGTTTTATATATAAAATCTTTATCTTCAAAGTAACTATCTGTCAAAAATTGTAAAAAGTACAAATTTGCCTCTGAAATGTAGTCAAGTAGAGGTATAAAGTAACATAAAATGTGAATAGTCAAATACAAGTAAATGTAAATGTACTTTACATTCCACCACTACATTTTATCACAACCTCAGTTTCTTTTACACACACAATAAATCCAGTCCAAAATAAATTTCTGAAAATAACCTTGCCCTTATTTTGTTGCTCAATCATTATTCTCTTTATATTCTGGGTATTGTTTTTGTATTTTGTATTTTTTCTGATGAGAAGTGTCATCTGAGTGACTTGAGCCTTCATCACAGTACACCTCATCCTAGTCATTACTTTAGAATGATGTCAGCACACAGGTTGCACGTAATTTCATCAGATTATCTGTCAAGCCTCAATAGCTTGATTGTAACTTTGGTAATCAATAATCTATCAGAATAAAGAGGCACACATGAGCACCACATTACTGTCCAATATATGACGCTGTAAACTGTGATGGGATGGCTCTAGGCTCTCGGTAATATTTAAACCAGATTAACTTTGAGATTATGGTTCCCATGTTTTAAAGTGATGTCGACATGCACTAATAAGCTTTCATGTAGGGCCCCAGGCAACAGTTATTCAGATATTTGTCCAGAGGGTGTGTTTGATTTTTTATATCACTTCCTCCCCAACCTTCTGTTACATACGCTTTCATGCATTTTGCTCATCTTCCATTTTTTATTCATGTTTCTGTGTGTGTTAAGGATGGCAGGATAAAGGTTGGAGATAGAATTGTAGCAGTGGGTGATGAACCTGTGGCAGGACTGTCAATGGACAAGGTACAAACACACACACAATACACACTTCAAGGTCAAGCTGATTTAATGATTTATGACTCACCTGTCTTCTCTGTATTCAGGTTTCCAGCTTGATTCTCAAACACCGGGTCACTGTCAAGCTCTCCATCAGCCGCTCCAAGAGTCTCTCCTGCTCATCTTCTCTACCTCCCCCAGCATCTCTTTCCTATCCTTGCTCTCTGTCTCCTGCTTCTGCCCTAACCCTCTCTGTCTCCTCCTCTTCTTCACCCCTTAATACATTGCAGACCTCTCCTACAGGGCGGTCTGATTGGCTAGGATCAGCTCCTACAACGTCTGACCCCCTGAGCTGCCCAGTCTTGGCTGGCAGGGAAACCACCATAGAGATCTGTAAAGGAAATGTAGGCCTGGGCCTCAGTATCGTAGGAGGATTTGACACTCTGCTGGTGAGAGCAGCTGGTTGATATTTGACATCAACATTTTCATTTAAACACTGTTTGGCAGAATAAAATCAATTCTTAATCATTCTAAATAATCATGATTTATAGCGTGAAATTAGGCAACATGGGCTTGTATAATGCATATGCACAAACATTGTGAGTGAAAGTAGTGAGGCTGTATTGTGGAAATAGCTTTTTAGGCTTTCTATGTTTTTTAAAATAAGTAAATGTTGTCGGAAATACTAAGCAGTGCAATTTTGATTACATTTAGCTGGATTAGATTCTCTGTAATAATAAAAATGTTTTCTGATTTTTACACCAGGGGGCAGTAATAATCCATGAAGTAAACGATGGAGGAGCAGCACAGAGAGATGGAAGGCTGCAGTCTGGAGACCAGATATTAGAGGTATTATGGGTACACACAAAGATACCATAATATACACATTTGACATCAGTCAAAGTTTTTATCCAAATATATTGTGATTTGATGGCAATTGATTATAGTTAGGTCATAAAACTTAATGAAACTCTAATGGTATTGCCCCATATTGTTGAATTTTTTCCCAACTCAACAACGAAGAACTATTTTTGTGGGCTCATGATTATTAATTTTACTGATCAAAATTAAAGTCTTGTGTTTTTATTTCATCCCTGTCCAACAAATGCCATGTATGTCATTTTTTTTATGTTATACATATATATGACTTTATATTATTATAATGTTGTTTAAAGGTTGTATGTATGGAATTATCTTACCACTAGATGTTGCACTAGAGCACCAGCATCTCAGACCAGACTGCACTGACAAAACTAGTAATTTTACCCAGAAGATAATCATAAAACACACTTCAAACCAGAGAGAATAAAATAAAAGTCACTAAAACAGTCTTTGTTAGCCTTTCCAACAATCAAAAATGTCGGTTTGGTCGAAATAAACTAATTGGCCAAAAATAGATGATGATGTCATGTAATGGTATAATGCATGTACAAATGCACCGTCAAAAAAAAAAATTTACACTGACCTATTATGCTCATTTCCAGCTCTGTATTCTTATACAGAGACTCCACTAGAGTAGCTTTGCATGATTCACCCTTTGTAAGTCCTTCATTCACTGACATAGATGAGAAAAACAGCAGTTTTAGCACTAACATGCTTTGCAAACAAATAACAGAGAATAAAATAGAATGGGATAGCAACACAGGCAATGGGACTGTCATGACATTCTCTTCTCAGGACACTATTACTCCACTATATCCTCACATAGCAAATAGTTTCTTGTTGCTATATATGTTTTAAAGTTTTAGGATTTGTGGAAGTATAATATAATATTCAAGGATATGTTTTAATTAGTCTTTTATCACCTGAAAATAAGAATCATTGTGTTTGCGTTACCTTTGAATGCTGTTTTTATTTACATAGGGAATGGTTGGTCTTCCACAGAGGCCACCATGTTAAACTGCCATTTATTATAAGTGCATTAACATTAGTCAACATTTCTGTAAATGTGCCAGTGTTGTCCAGACAGCTTATTTTAAACTGTTGTCCTTAAGCAAGATGTTCTAAAACCACTGAAGTGACAGGTTCAGAAATACAAACATAAGACAATAAAATGCTGAAATGACAACAAAAGTAACTAAATCAGTATGCACAACACTGCATAAATCATGCAGAACAGGAAGCATTGATTGTTGAAAGCAATGACATGTAGATTGCTTGTAGATTGATGCTACGGCCCTTAATGTAGCCATTTATCAAGATAAAGCACTCTTTGTCATTAGTCGTAGTAAAATCCATTTGTCGTTTGTGATATAAATACAGTTACTCCAATGTCTTCTAACCCCCATTATACAACTATGGCCTGTGTCCATTTCTCTCACTTCCTCCTAGGTAAATGGTATAGACCTGCGGCAGGCCACTCACGACGAGGCTATTGGCGTGCTGCGTCTCACCACCCAGCGGGTTCGCCTGTGTGTCTTCAGGCACCAGGAGGCCTACAGGGAGGAGGACCTGTGGGACGTCTTCAGCCTGGAGCTGAGGCCTCGTCCTGGAGAGGGGATTGGGTTCACCACTGTGGGGAAGAGGTATGTTGATAATGTTGACTAAAAGATGAGAATAAATGTTTTTTTGTTTCCTTCAGGTACATATAACCGCATTTTACCATACAGTAGGTTAAAAACTATGGGACATAAAAGTTCAAATTGAAGATCTAGTCTAGATCTTCCAATGACCGTATAGCTATGAGATATTAGTTTGGAAAAAGCATTTTGCCTGGCAACTGTAAGTGAAACCATGGGAAGAGTTTGATAATGATGTTAACAAACACTGTTGTATTTTAAATGTGACATGAGTGCAAATACACCACTTTGAGCGGCTGTGGCTTGAGGTAGAGTGGGTCGTCCAATCTCTGGGTTGGCGGATCAATCACCACCTCCTACTTTACACATTCGTAGTGTCCTTGTGTCCCAAGAAACTGAAATTGCTCCCAATGGACCGACAAGTGCCTTGGATGGTAGCTCTGTCGCCATTGTTTTGTCAGTGTGTGGGTGTGGATCGGTGAATTCACAACTGAGGACAATTGTAAAGCTCTTTGTCCGTTAAGATAGAAAAGGCCTATTTAAATGCAGTCCATTTACCTTCTACCATTTCACCTCTTGCACCTTGTGAAGATGAGAAATAGGTAGGCCATAAGTTGGCCATGCATTTATTAAATCATGCCACTACTGTGGACCTAAACCAAAAATTTCAGGCTGGATGTGTGAGTATAACTGCTCTTATTTGCCTGCTAATCATTAAAAATATGAAAAATGCTTTAAAGCTCAGATTAATATGGCTAAAAAGTCAGAAATTCTTTCAGAATCTATCATATTTATATTTAATTTAGTATCAGATATCATTCACTTTCATACATGCCAGAAGTGATTTCATTTTTTTGGAGAGTTAGGGGTCAGGGACCCTGTAGCAACAGGGATCATTACTGTAAAAATAATGTGTGATAAACACATAATGAAATCACACAGTGTTCCAGCAACCAATCCAATAATCACCATAAAGGTTAGAGAGCCAGGCCACAGGGTGACACTGCAGGGAACACACAAGACACATTATTTCTGAAGAGTTTAGGTGCAGATTTCTATGCAGCTTCATGTATTTACTCAATCAAGTGTGACATTATGCAGAACAGCAGGCTTAAAGATCACATACTGTAATGCTCTCTATAAGCGTGGAACAGACACGTTTCTGACCTCTGTTTTCTTCCAACAGTAATGACACGGGCATCTTTGTGTCAGACGTCATCAGAGGAGGCGTAGCAGATTCAGATGGCAGGTTGTTGCTAGGTGACCAGATTCTGTCAATCAATGGGGAGGATGTTCGTGCAGCATCACAGGAATATGCACAGAAGCTTCTACAGGTCTGACACATTTACACTTACACATACAAAATCTATAAACTAATTAGTAGTGGGTTATACATTTTCTTATGGATTCATCATCTTATGTGAGATGTGTCACTTCGCTCTTAGAGTTGCACTGGAGCGGTCCAACTGGAGGTGGCTCGTTTTAAAGCAGGGCTGCAGTACTCACAGCAGAATCAGGTAAACTGGTCCCCATGACTGTTTGTGTCTAACAACAAATGTCTGTCTAATGATAGTCTATCAAAGAAAATGTAAAAATTTATTATCAGGTGTTTGTTATCAGGTTATGAATTTACCTTTTTGATTTAGCTATGATTTCTATTGTATTGAGAGTCCAGACTTTCTTTAACCAGCTCAATCCCTTTAATATTGTCTGTAGTTCATCTATTACTCTTTTGAACTATTTTAACAATAGTAATTTGTGAATGTAGGAGTACTTTAAGTTTTGTTTTATCCAGAGCGAAGACTCCAACTGTTCCACACTGACCACCTCAAGTGGATGTGATGCTTCACTCAGCCAGCAGAGGGAGACCGATGACAAAACAGGGAGCTACTGTGAGTGGCCCTCATGTCCTGAAAGCAAAAACAATCATGACATTTGCTCTTATGATGGTTAATTATTTAGTGGAAATAATTCTGTTATAACATTTTCAGTCTGATTATAATGCATAATATCCCTCTCCTCCCACAGCATTTCAAGACTACCCTGACATCAGAAAAGTAATAATACAAAAGGTAAGGCATGAAATCTTGAAATAATACTCAGTAATTGTTATTATAATACAGCCTTGAAGAAACTGACTATCGATATTTTGAAAGAGCTTTTGTTCTTTTACCTCGAATAACCAACTCCTAATTAGACATACTGTGTATCCATTACCTCCTTACCTGGCTGGACCCCAGGCTTACACAACATTAGGTGTTTGTGTCATGTGCTGAATCTGCCATATGATTCACAGGCAATGTCTAACATGTCTATAATGTGTGTGTGTGTGTGTGTGTGTGTGTGTGTGTGTGTGTGTGTGTGTGTGTGTGTGTGTGTGTGTGTGTGTGTGTGTGTGTGTGTGTGTGTGTGTGTTGTCACCACAGGGTCCATGTGACTCACTGGGCATCAGTGTAGCAGGAGGAGTGGGCAGTCCCCATGGCAACATACCTCTTTTTATTGCTACCATGGATACCAATGGACTGGCTGCCAAAACACAGCAATTACAGGTGGGGAGTGTCGTTCTAAGTGCCTGTGTGTGTGTGTGTGTGTGTGTGTGTGTGTGTGGGTGGGTGTGTGTGTATTGTGTGTGTGTTGGGGAAAGACCTGTTATTGTCATTGCATCATGTGGCCTCGCCTCCTGTATGGGGTCCAAAAGTCAGTGCTCACATTGTTAAGCATTTATTTAAGTGTAATGACTTGATCTTAGTGTTAAGATATTTTTTTACGGTAAAATAAAATTGACGCACACACAGATGCTTATTAATTAGCATATTACAAGATGCATATTAATTAGGCACTGGCAACATAAGGGTTACAATAGAACGGGTGAGCCTACTTGATCTTTTAAGTTTTACATAGAAATACTGTGTCTCAAACACACTCTCATAGACATATTAAAAAGGTAAGGGTTGGGGTTCTCTGGTTATGTAGTGCTATGTCTCCAGGAAGTAAATGTTCTATAAGTCAATAAAAGTTACAAGTTTGTTTGTGTGTCTCAATCAGACAGGAGACAGGATCCTCAGTATCAATGATGTGTCCCTGGAGGGAATGACTCATGTCCAAGCTGGAGTCCTGTTGAAGAACGCCACCGGAGCCATCAGTCTGCAGGTAATGTCACAGTGAGATATACAGCAGTTCATCTATAATGCCTGTGAGGCACACAGTTGCAATAACATCAGCAACTTTAAGTTGAGTGTTGTTCTCACTTGCTTCCTCTAGGTCATTATTACTCAGCAAGATATAATTTAACAGAAAAAAACAACTCCATCTCAAATTGTTTGACAAGGAATAAAAATTAGATAGTTTATAGTTTCAGTCATCTATTCATTATCAGTGTTTCACATTTGAATGCAGTACTGTAATTTTGAGACAATAGTGTGTCTGGCACTGATTTCACACTGTTTGTCTTCATGTTAATAAGCCTCCAGAAAGACTTTTGTAGTAAGAGAGAAAAAGAGGTATTTGTAAGGAACAAGTTGTTCTTGACAAGTACACTGTGTGTAAGAAAAAAGAAAAACATCAAACGGATTTATATTTGTATTACTCCCTCTGTATTAACATGAAGACAATCATGGCAGTGTTATTACAGCAGTAGGATTTCAGATTATTGTCCATCTAGTTCATAGCTGACTCAGTTAAGAGCTTTAGAAATATGTTTGTCTATCTCCATTTTTACTTATTAAAAAAAGTTGAATACTTTGTATGTTTGTATATGTAGGTGGCATCGGGTTCTGGAGGGTGCAGCACAAAGGAAATCAATGATGTGCATGCCCAGTCATCAGGCCAGTCCGGGAGCCTGCCCCGCTTTCACAACAACCTCCGGTGAGGATTGGTTTCCTGACAGTCGCCTGCTGTTGCACAATCTTACTTTGGTCCCTTTCTTGGTTATTTACTGAATAAGGACAAAGCCAGACCCTAGTCCCCCTTGACAATAATGAGAACCTGCAGCCGCTTTGTGAGAAGCATTGGGACAAATGCTCTTTTGACCAGAAGGAGCTGCAGTGTTTCTTGTATTTTGCTTTGTTTTCAATTGATTTTTTAGGTTGTTTTCAGCTAAAAATACCACGGACCAATTTTTTTGTTTAATTCCTTCATGACAATAACACTTTGTTTTTTCAGTCAGCCAACTGGAATGTTTATTAAGCAGTATAGCATATTTAGACTTTGGCGTCTAGGCTCCGAACCTCATCACTCCCCACAGATATGTTTACATAGAGATATTGGGGAGTGATGCGCAAATACCTTAACCCCCAGTCGGAGCCTACAGGTGGATGCTGGGGTGGTGGTGGGGCTTACAGTGCAGCAGCAGCAGCAATAGCTTAGAGAGCAGCAATACGGATGCAGGGCAACAGCGGCATTGACAGAGTAGAGGGAGAGCTGGGAAATTGTGCAGTTTAAATAGACTGCCAGATTGGAAGGGTGCGATTGGTTAGTGATTATGGAATAAGGCAGGTCATGTGTGTAATCAGCACAGCTCGAGTTGACCTGCCTGAACTAGCTCGCAGGCTTCGCTCCATTTTTGGCAGCTTATCAACTAAACTAACATCTGAAGTAACTGTAACTGTAAAACGTCAGAATTTGGGGACAGAAGTATATTCATTACATGAACCAATAATTATTTGTAACTTGTTGTTTCTTCAAGAAACGTTGGTAAATTTGTCTTAAATCTGCTGCAGCCCTTTGTACAAAGCATGCAACCCAACCCTAAGGTTAAATATTATATTTTAATTCTGAAAACAAAAGAGAATTCTGGGATTCACCACTACACACAAAATACAGCATAATAGAAATTCACCTATTCACCCTTTTCTCACCTTTTGTCTGTCCTGGTGAGATAAGATACTCCTTTTACAGACACACACACACACACACACACACACACACACACACACACACAGACACACACTGTGTATTTCAGTTGCAACACTTGCTCTCAAAATCTTGCACACTTGCAGGCCCAGCAACAGATTGTTTTCCATTCTATTTCCACAGTGCTCGCATGTATAAGACCATCACTCTGGAGAGAGGCTCATCAGGCCTGGGCTTCAGCATCGTCGGAGGGTTCGGCAGCCCGCATGGAGACCTGCCGATCTACATCAAAACCGTCTTCAACAAGGTGAGAGGACAACCTCCAGGGAGAAATCTTTCCTGGGGAACCTGGGATTCAGAAATCTAATCTCAGCACAGCATGGAGTTCAGTTATACTAGCAATCTCTGTGTGTTCATTCATATAAGAGACATGAGCACAAAGGTAGGATGCCATGATTATAAACGTCAAAAGGCTTAAGGCATTAACAGCTGGTGAGTGAGTAATAATGATTTAAATATGCTATAACTTGTAAAAAGAATTATTTAGAATTGTAAGAGAGAGTACATCATTGGTTAAATGTGTTGCATCCTATATAATGTATTGTAATAGTGCTATGTTATTACATTTTACATCTTGTTTAGATGTTTAATATCTTAAACAGGATGGAATTTAGAAAGACATTTCTTTCAGTGATTACAGTCATATTTTTGTTGTCTTTTGTCTGCATCTGTCAGTGTTGTGTTAAAAGTGGAAACACATTATAATCTCTGATCTGCACGTTTGTGTTCTGCAGGGGGCAGCCATAGAGGACGGCAGGCTGAAACGTGGAGATCAGATCATTGCTGTGAATGGACACTGTCTGGAGGGCGTGACTCACGCTGAAGCTGTGGACATCCTGAAGAAGACCAAGGGAACTGTAGTTCTAACTGTACTCTCCTGAGATACAGCCCATTGTGTGTTATCTCATTCGGTCTTTGCAAAGTAGCCCATAAAATAACGTAGCTGCCTCCTGTAGGACTGCAAATCTGAGAAGGCAAATGTAAAAGTAAAGTAATATTTGTTTAGTTTAAAATCATAAAAAGGGTAGAAGAGTAAAGGTATTTAGTTTGGGGAAGCTACCTCTAACTGCACAGACAGCCTGGGTGTGTTTACATGCACACAGTATTCCCGATATAAACTCATATTCCTATGAAGGTATTGTTTTTTTAACTAATGTATTTAAGTTAAATGAATCCTATGTCTCTATATTCATATAAACAGAATATTTTTTAAATGACCATGGAAGCGATGCTCACCGAAACCAAAGCACCACAAGCTGATATTAAATAAGCCAATACCGCAGTGTCCCAATTGATGTCTTAGTTATCCTGTTCAAGGTATTTTAAATATAGTTATGCATTGATATGCGTCATTGCCCACGTAAACGCACTCATGAATAAATTACCATCCACCATATATATGAATACATTAGAAATATCTCTCAAGAAACCAGATTACATGTTTTTACTGCTGTTCTAGACTACTGTTCATTCAGAGTTAACTACTGTGATAAACTCCTAAGACCCCAAAACATGCCAAGTGCTTCTGCCAATCTTTTGTATGGCAATAAGGTTTTAGGACATTTTCTTTAAAAGTCTTTTATTCTTTACTTTCATATTTTCATCATTAAATGAGTGTCATGATTGCTTGAATAATCAATGTATTGTGCGTGACATGTTAATAATTAGCAATGATAACCACCTTATGTTAAACAGGTAGAATAGGAAAAAAAATCTAAATTTGTTACATCTGTTACAAGCAGCTGTTAATACCAGTTACTTTAAATATCAGCTGTGCGAGATTTATTTATTGATTTATTAATGTTTTCATAATCTTTAACTTCATTGGTTGTTTTTTTTTAGGACTTCCAATAAGTATTGTTACAGTTTAATGTGCAATCTTTATTTAGAAACCTTCTCATACCTGTTTTATATGAATTTATTTATACTGTGATATTTATGATTTCTTCACAGTCAATTTATTTCATTTATGTCAGTAGTCCTGAGAGCCACAACACAAACACACACACCTGTGTGTTTGGCATTGTGTAACTGTATAACTGAATGTACTGTAAGTGATCTTATTAAATGTTCATTTGTTAGAGTTTTGTATACAAAACTTTTTATAGTTCAGAACCTCTATTATTCTGCTCACTTACTTCCCGGTGTACCTCTGTCTATATAATAAGGGCTAACAACAACACAGAAGTATTTCTTGTTATCTGATTCTTTGTGATGTCTCTCTCTGGAATAATACTGAGTAGGATAAGCCAGTGGATATCACATTGTTTGACTTTCAAAGCCCACAGATGCAGACCAGAGAGAAGTATTTGAGAAAATCTGAGTTTCCTGAACTGTTAAACAAGGACGTCTGTGCCTGCAGTTACATTTTTTAAGGATGGATGCGAGAATTTTTTGGCATTTTATGCATATTTTTGCATCTATTTCCAAACCAGTGAGCTGAATTTTGCCTTGGAGATGTTTTATTGCCGTGGTTATGTTCTTTATCCCCCACTGTTTCTCTCTGTCTTTGTCAAACATGAATACATATTCAGGATCACTCAAGTTTAGTCAAGGTGCCAGGATGAAGAGTGCGTCATACAGTATATCATGGGATGACAGGGCAGCACTAAATCACAGAGTAAGGATTAGAGTGACAACAGGAGAGGAGAGGTGGATTAGCTACAACATCGTACAGAAAGCTGAAGATATCAGGACAAAGACATTTTCAACCTGAGTCAGAGATACGCCAACGGGGTGTAAACCTGTGCCATTGTTTTGTAAATGCACAAAACTTTCATTTTAATTACTGGAGTTACTGGTGACAACTTGACAAACAATACATTTGCACACAAATGTCTCATTTAGGAAATAGAAGGTATCTAGGGAAATTCTGTCTGGAGCCTCCGCATTAATCAAAGCCATCTGTTCACATTGCAAGCTTTATTGAAACCCCGCCATCGCAGGCTGGTTTATCCTTCTCCAGATGAACGATTGCCTTACCTAAAGGCTGGCATGAAGAGGGTTTTGATGGAGAAATGTCCAAATGCTTTTTGTGCATTTAACTGGGATGTTTGCTAGAATATAATGCTTCTCCTTTTGTGGAGAATAATGCTACCATATCTTCTACATGTTTTGCATTTAAAAACAAATCTACATATTTTAAATAATAGATTTCTATCATGTAAACTTCAATGGATTCAGCTCTTGTGGGAGAAGCAGGGGGCAGATCAGATGCAATGACATCTCCCTTTCTGCTCTTTCATTAAGCAAGAAAACTGATCTGCTGGTTTTCACAAGCAGGCTCAAATTCCCTTTCCTTCAAACATTTATGAGGAGTATGCCAGCAAGCCACAGGCAATGGGAACTTTTCCACTGCATGGCCCTTCCTACCATCTTTTAAAACTTACAATGGGGCCCATCTATGTAATTGCAAAACTGTAATGTACTTTTCTACCATTGAGAATAAGATGACTTTCATGAGAGTACACTTGACATGAAAGGCACTAATGATCCTCTCTCCCAGGAGGGTAGTAGCGGCCAAATGATTGCTCTGTGTGTGACTGTCACATCTATCCATATTAATAAATCCACAGGATTGTGTCTTTTTGCTGTCAGTGTAACCTGCTGGTACAGAGAGAACAGCCAACTGATGATGGATCCAAAAAATATTATCTTCTTCTCCTCTATCCATTCCCATGAGATTATTTTCAAGACACCAGCCTGCACTGCAAAAATGCCAATCCTAAGTAATTCAGTCAAGTGCTGAGCATTAAAATCTTGATTTCCATAAGATAAAAATATCCTGACAGGCAGATTTGCTGTAGCCACTGTGCATACTGTAGGTCTACAGTAGTTACAGTAAATTAAAGTTATGAATCAGTTCACAGTTCATACAAACAATGAGCTGGACTGATGGGAAATTTGCAGGAGAGAAGCATGCATATCTATGTTATGCTGTTTTATTCAGTGGCTTTGCCTGAAGCAAGAAATAATTAGATACAGTCATGCAGTTGGAGCAGAGAAGCACCGCATGACATTGTGCATTATTTTGTTATGAGTTTTAAAACCACTCCATCTCATTAAAACAAGAATCTGCCGATCAAATAATTCCACTATTTTCAGTCCAGATCATTAGGACTTTTCACTCCTTTATCAATTCTTTCCTCCAATACACATATGCATATGTATGTAGCAATATATATAAAAACACTGTGTCTTAAGCAGCCCCTCTACACGATTTTGAAAAACCTGAAAATTTTTGTTATTTGTGATATTTTCCCGTTTTTCTACATGTTGGTGTAAATGCTGTTTTCTATAATTGTTTCATTTATTAATGTTTTTCTTCATTTTCCTCTTCCTAAAAATGGTCAAATTTAAGACACAGAGTCTACAAAACATGTTATTTTCTGTCTTTTCAAAACTCACTAACTAAATTATGAAAGGTAAACTGCACATCAGCCCCCTAAAAATATCCAGAACAGTTCACAGAGGACGTGACATCTCTGTCGTCAATAGCAGCCACAGCCCTGGCTTAATCCTCAACAGATGCAACATGGGATCATAAATACATGCATGCTGGGTGATTGCTATTGTGCATAATTACAACAATTTCTGAGAGACTCCGATTCAAAGGCCCAAAGTGGCGATGATGAAGAGGTCAGGACAGGAGAGAGGAAGTAGCCTATTTTTCTTGTATGCAGTGTGCAGTTCAGAACCTACTGTAGCAACCTAACCTGTCAATCATAAGGCAAGACACGTTTTTATATAAAAATGCCCAGTTGAGCCAGAATCCCAGCCTTCAGGACAGGACCATGACCTTGACACTGAAGTCGTCACTTCTGGGTGTGTTCAAGTTCTCCAACCCTCCAAGTCTTCTGTACAGCTGTAAACAAATGTGAACAGTGTGTAGAATGTATGTAGCAGCTTCAAGGTGACATTGTCTAGTTAATGATGTATTTTGCTGGGTTAACGTTCCATAAAGAGTTAAAAGGTTAATGAGGGTTTTATGTGGAATTTATATCGAGTTTTTAAGATCATATAACTCGTTGTTGAAGCTTTCTGTTGGTCTAGCAAAACTGTCCAGATCTCATTCAGCCCAACCTGTAATGCCCTATGTGCAGCGAGATATTTTGGTCTTCATTTACAATTCTAATTAGCATAATTAGAGTTAAATATATGGACTAATAATTGTGTGTGTGTGTGGGGGGGGGTACGCAACTTGTAAATTGAATCGTCTCCTGTCGCAGTAATGTGTTATATCCACATGAGGGCGTTGTATGTGCTGTTATGAAGACATGGACATTGCATTGGCTTGATCTGATCACTGGTGAGAAGCAGCATTACATCTAAGTGGTTTAATAAGATTGTTAGCCTCAGGCTTCAGACAAGCAAATTTGAGCCTGCAGCAAAAGGCCTCTAGTATTAGGACCCGTCTGTGTTCTGTTCATATCGTAAAGCATGTTATATACACAGTTCTAGGCCTAGATTAAGTGCAGATTGACACACACAATTAAACATGAAGATATGAAGGTTGCCATTTATCTTACAGAACTTTGTCTGCATGAACTTATTTGCAACATGTACCTGGGAGCTGAAAAAGGAGACACTATAGGGGAGAAATAGTGCCTTATATTGTCTACCAATAGCAATTCGCCCATTCATTAAACGCTGTGCTGCTCCTGGCAGCCTGACCTGTTGGCTTCTCTCTCCTGCTGTATGTGTCAAAAACAAAAGATCTGCCAGACTCCGCCAGCCCTGAAATTTATAGCAAATACACTGACACAGACACACAGATTCTGGGTTCAAACCCAGTTCAACTTTATTAGAAGAAGTAAGGGAATAAAAAAAAAAACTGAAACAAAATGTTAAGGCCTCTCTAGAAAGGCACAGATTTAGACAACAGACTGTGATTTGTCCAACCTCCGGTCATCCTCTGAGTAGCGCCGGAAAGTCTCTCCCAGCAGTGGCTCCAGGGCCTCGGCTGAGCGGTAGGAGCGGGAGCGCACGGCACAGGCAATAATGCCGCCCACCACTGCCACCACCAGCACTGCTGCAACAATGGCTATGGTGATGATCTCAGACAGGGTGTAGGCACGAGCTGTGAAAAAACGTCATCGGTTTGGGTTAGGGTTTTGTGAATGTGTGCATGTGTGTGTGTGTGTGTGTGTGTGTGTGTGTGTGTGTGTGTGTGTGTGTGTGCTGCTTCTCACTTGGCCACTGGACCTCATAGGAATATCCCAGGTTTTCTGGGGCAGGGAGAAACATCTCAGCATTGGTGACAGGAGGCCAAAAAGGAACCATGTTGGATCTCCGGTTGTGCCCGATAGGAGCGTTCTCCTCAGGGTAAACTATTTCACCTGCAGGATGAGAAAAAAATCTGTTTATCTCTCCAGTCATCCTTATGAGTGGGTTATTTTCTGTATCTACATATAGTTCATTCTGTGTGTACCCGGTTGGTGCCTGCCAAGCCACTCATCGAAGATTGCATCGGTGAACGTGTGCAGCAGGACAAAGATGGGATCGTTGGGTGAGAGGTGAGTCTGTCCACCTGTCCCATTGAGGAAGAGGTGGGCCAAGTTGTGGAGGCTGCGGATCACTGGGTCGTACATCCCCTGGGGGGCGCTGTATCCTACAAAATACAAACAACAAAGCCATTAAATGAAAGCTCTGATTTATCCAAATTAGAAGCAAAGAATGCTGTATTGGAGCTAACCATATGTGCATGTGGGTGGAGGGTTTAGTGTGTGTGTTTCTGGCTTCGTGTTTGTATCTGTGCAGTCACATGGCACTTCAGCAGCTTTGTAGGCTGAGCTGAGCCCGACAGAACCAGAATATCCCCTTTTGGTTGCCGGGGAGATGTTAAATCTTAAATACTGCTTTGATTTTGACCATGTGACACATTACTGTGCACCTTCAATGGTGTTCCTGAAGCTCTCAGAAGAGGTGGAGTAGTAAGGTGGCGTGTCGAAGGTGTTGAGCTCCAGACAGTCCAACACATCCTGGGGCTCTGGCAGCCTCTGCACCATGGGCCGAGCCACGTTGCCCGCTGGGTTCCTCCTGATGGGACTGGTCTCAGTGTCTGGGTGATAAGGACAGAACCCA